TTAACTGTTTTCATCTGAGAGTGCATGCAGCAACAAAAAACAGCTGATGCTGAAAATGCTAATATCAAAAATGAGTGCTGCCTATGCAAAAGCCCTGTTTGTTGACATAGGCCCTTAAGTATCTTATTTCCTATGCTCAATTTCACCTGTTGCTTTACTTTCTTTTATAGTTGTATAGTTTCACAGCTTCTATTTTTATTTTCACTGTTGTTATGTAGCATTGCTTCATTATACTGCCTTTATGGTGTATGATGATATATGAGCATTTTATTCAGCCATCATGCATAATACAAAAAAACTGGCATACATCTTTATATTTAACAGTATTTCTTTATTTTAAAAATAAAAAGTACTTCTGAACAAATATGAATAAAATGGTAATAACTCTAATATTTCTTATAAATAAATACAAATAGCTAGTTTAGCAGAACAAACAACACCAAACAGTGCAGGGAGCAGAATTGGACACAGACGGTCCAGGGATGGCTTTAAATGTTTTATGATTGCATCTGGAGAGAGATGTGCATTTGTGAAACAATGGGCATTTTATAACAGTGTGAACACAAAATATTATTTTCTCTTCAGCACAGTACAGAAACCTCAGTATAGTATTTCATGTGAGCCCAAACGTTGTCCTTACAATCAGACCTACATGCACAACTATCTATTCAGTGAGGACTTCCAGTACAAAATGCATTCATGCACTTAGACATCAATACTCTAAAGGCAAGAGCTTAAAACTATTAATTGCAACAGGAGATGGAAAATAAACATTTTAAACGACGAGGGTGAAAGCTAACTAAGTACACAAAGATGTCAATAAATATAAAAGTAGGTTTTGTGCCCCAAACAACATTGCCTACTTCCTAAAAGAGGAAGTGTTTTTCTTACACTGGTTATTTTTCTTAAAATGAATAATCTTTACCTAATGAAAGTACAGTGGAAATAACTGATGTTAACTTGAGCTATTGATTAGGAATTAGGAAACACTGACATTACTATCCTCCATCCATAACAAGCTAGCTTAACTACAACAGATAAATCATTGATCTGTGCAGCACATTACCTCTGTGTCTTTTTCATATTTTTCCTCCTCTTCTTCTTTTTCATCCCTGGGCTCCCGAGGGCTTTGGGTTTTTTTTACATTACAGTTGTTTATAAAGGTGATAGTAATCAGTACGGTCAGTGTCACTCACTTCTCTTCAGTCACCTGCCCTCCTCCCCCACAATGAGCAAGTAACGAGCAGTGGTGTTGTGATACGCCGGGTCAAGCAGGAGGCAAGAAAAATGAGCCTTTTTAAAACGTATTTTCATTCTATTTCTTCTTCTGATCTTCAACTTTTCTCCCTCACTCATTTGGGGCGCCAGCGGTGCCACCTATGGAAGGATGGTGCCCCTAGCATTTGCCTATACTGCCTATGGGCCTGTCCTGGACAAAACCATGCAGAGCAAAGATTCAGAGAATAATCCTGACACACAGACGGATGAGATTCTTAATTTCCCCGTGTTACATTGAGCCGCTTCTTTTTGTTAAAATTAGTACAGAGTTCTCAAAATCATATTAAAATTTTACCTTCAGAATCCTCATATTTCTGTGTGAGGAGATAGTGGTATGTTTTCTCGTCAGCACTGGATAGTTTTCTAAAAAAGAAGAACCCACATCTTAATGTAGCCTTTCAAGCAGTTCATCAATTCTTGGTGTTGGAAAAGAATCAAATAAAGAAATTGAATTCAAGTACCTGAAATCAATGCAGAACCTTATGCTTCCATCCTTCTTTGGTACGAGCATCACTGGGTTACACCACTCGATAATCCCCAGTGACAGCATCAGGTCAACCTCCCTCCTCAGTGAGGCCCACAGGCCCTCAGGGATCCTGTAACTTAATCTTCTCACAGAAGCACCTTCTCTATCAACAATATCATGTTCAACAATATTTGTTCTGCCAGGATTCTCCTGGAAAACTTCTGAATTACAGATCGATCTCACCTGAAGCCTTTGGCCGTCTGAGCAGTTACTGAGTTCATGGTCTACCAGGTCACTATCCACTTCTTCATCCAGCACACTTCTTATTAGCATCACTACTGTTTTTCTTTCTGGTCGCTGCACCCACTCTTTTAAGAGATTTTTGTGTAGTACCCTACTGGAGCGCGAGTGCCCTGGTGTTGATACCTGGTATGTTGTTGGCCCAAGTTTCTTAGGATTTGGAACTGTCCTTGTCATTTAGCCAACAGTTTGTTGTCATCACTAAGGAGGAGCATATGTCCTGCGTCTAAGGATCTCTGCCTGGCTGACTTGTCGTACCAGGACTTCTGTTGCTGCTGGGCGTCTGCCATGAGCGATTGGGCCAGCTCACCCATTTTCTCCAGCCGCTATCTCAGCTGGATGACATAGGATACAACGTTAACAGATCCCACACTCCCCTTGCCCCCCTCCCAGATCTCTCTCAACAGAGCCAACAGCCCCCGAACTTCATGTCCATACAAAAGTTCAAAAGGAGTGAAACCAGAGTACTTCTTTATATACAAAGAGGAGGTAGGGCAGCCATTGATCCCAGTCTGTACCAGTGTCGTTTACAAACTTCCGGAGCATCTCTTTCAGGATCTGGTTAAAGCGCTCTGTTAACCCATCCATTTGAGGATAATATGGTGTGGTCCTGAGGCTCTTGATACCCAGCGTTGTGGTTTAACTCAGAGTACTTGAGCATTGGCTCAACAGATGGTCAATTTTATGACTTGCAGAGACGTGATGTCTGTGGTTTCGGTCACAGTTCATGACTTTTGAGGTCAATTCGTAGATAGCAGAGTGTTCTGTTTCCATCTTGGTTGTTTACTTAAAGCGTTATAAAAGTTTATAATATCCATTATATTTTGAGCATGTGTGTAATTCAGTCCTATCTGTGTGGGAACCATGTCTCTCAATTACACAGGGGGATTAAAAGACTATGCAAAAGTTCTAAAAAAGTAAATAAAACATTTGGGTGTAACATTGTATTGTCATGTTAATATTGACATGCATTACCTCAGTGGCAATGAAGATTTTGACCAGTGTGTCCACCTGGTACAAGCTGCTCCCATTCTCCTCCCTTGACACAATGTCGAGACAGACATTGTTGGTATCCTCGTTGGTGAGAAGCTCGACGTCGCTCCACATTGCCATCTCATGGAGCTAGATACATGGAAATAAATGTCAATCTCAATGTTTGTAATGTAGTTAGCACAAGTGTCTAGGAAGGTGGTAGAAAGGCAACTCAGCAAATGACGTTTTTCCAAGGGGTGAGTATTTATTTACAGTGATTAAACCAACATGTGTAACTTAACAAAACAACAAATTTTATGATTTGCAGAGACGTGATGTCTGTGGTTTCGGTCACAGTTCATGACTTTTGAGGTCAATTCATAGATAGCAGATCCTACGAAGATCGTTCACTTCTTACCTGGGTATATCACCACAGTAACTTATGCTGCACACCTAACCTGCTATGGAGCAGGTTATGTTCGAGATAGGAGATCAACCTGTGGAAATCTCCGCACACTGACCAATCAGATCTTTTGATCATGGATCTCCCGCAGCTGATCGAGAGAGGGGAGGAGGGGGAGAGACCCTTCATGTGTCCAGTTTGTCCTGTTGTGAATACAACCTAACAGCCGCGTAGGACCACCATACTATGAGAACTATAAGAAAAGTCATACAAGAACTAAATAAACATTTGATTATTTGATTGTGTTTGATGAACTGAACTGAACTACTCTACTGAACTATTTAGGTATTAGGGAAGACACTTCAACACAAACAATGACTAATGGCTGCGATAACAGCTTCTGCTAGTAGATGCCGACATTGAGCGAGCAGGTTTTGAAATGTTTCAAAACATTTCAAAACAATGATTCAAATGTATCACACGTTTCAAAGCCTCAAATTTGCCATCCCTACAAATCCACAAAATCTCAAATCAACAAAGACAAAGCCAGGAAAGCAAACACAAGGAAAAGGAGACTAGAGACTAACGCATACACAGTAAAGGTCCCATATTATGCTTTTTCTGGTTTTATATGCTCTTTCGCGTGTTTTCCAAGTGTCCTGTGCATGTTTAGGCACACCTATGTGCAAAAATTCAAAGTCCGCGGAAACACGGCTTCTCCTACGTCCTCCTGTTAGCTGTAGCATTAGCTGCATGTAACGCTCGGTTCTAGCCCCCCTCGATAAAAATTTGTCAGTGTGACGTCTTGTCAGTGTGATATCACTGATCTAAGCCCATTGGCTCGTTGTGGCAAGCCCAGCAGCTCATGTTGCACGCCCGTTAACTTCTGTAGCACGCCCAAGATATGTCGTAGCCTGCGGCAGCACAGTAGTGCTAAGGTGCTAATGTTTATGCTTCCCTCAGACGGAGCCAGTGGCTGCATTCCCAATATGGTAAAAGAGGCGGGACATTTCCGAGAACCATGCTGAGCAACTGACCAATTACGGACAGAGCCGACAGGCCGACCAATCAGATCAGACTTGGAACACATGGGGACTCTGAACGTGGGCACTTCAGAGCCTTAGAGAGAGAGTCAGAAGCGAGCCGGTGCATGGAGCGGCAGTACATGAAAACAGACAGTTTTTTCGAAGTTTAGCTATTGTGAACATACTTTAGTAGGTACATAGATTAAATATACGAACCCCAAAAAGGGCATAATATGGGCTCTTTAAGGAGACAATGACAATCCAGCAGAGGGCTGGTGGAAACACAGGGGTATACAGATCAGGCTAATTGCAAATGAGAAACAGGTGAGTTGGGACAAAAGGCGGGAAACAGTAAATGGCAATGGCAAGAAGTAAGATTAGATATGATACGGAAGCAAAGGATTACAAAATAAAACAGGAATTATACCTTCACACATAAAAACAAAATGGTAGACTAACAGAATATCACAGCCCTCTTGTAAATCTTCCCTTGGACAAACAGCCTTTTTATGTTTAGAGAATTAATTGGGATATGGGCCATCGGTAAAACTGGCAAAAGTAGAAGACAAATTGGAGACATGGATTGATGAATGATTGTTCTAATAAAATCTTTTATTTGATAATAATCATGTAGGCTAACATTTCTTTCATTCTTTATCTGTCTCAAGGTCTGCTTGTCAGTTCAGTCTCTGAGGAACATCAAATATAACAAGACCAAGCAGATGAAATGTAAATGACAAAATCAGTCAGGAAGACAAGAAGACATATATTTTAATAGAGTTTGCTCATTTCATACTTCATTTATAGAATAAATACTTCATCTTTCTCATCTTATCACCCACATAAAACACCTTTATTCAATATCGCTTAGTTTTCCAGCATGAGTATGTGGAAAGCTGTTCATTTCTGGTATACACAAAAAAAAAATGGTTTTACTGCTTAGTACAGTTCTTAAGACATTAAGTGCTTGCTGCATTATGGGTAAAAGGAATCTCGGAAAAAGTTTAAGACGTACAGTATTTCCATATACCTACTTACACATCAACAAGCATGACTGTAAAAGAACGTTTGTTAGAAGAGAGAGAGGCTTCCAAAGTCATGGTCAAAAAAGGCATGATTCATCCTCAACTGCTGTGAGAGCAACACTGTCGTATGAGAAAGACATTTCACCCATGGTTGTCTGTCTTGTGTCAAATCTGGCATTTTTCTAATAACAGCATCAAAAAACATTCCAGGTGGTTAGCATGAACATAGCAAAAGTAGGCAGTCTTAAGCATCAGAATTTTGATGTAAAGATTCTGCAACACCGTTGCTTCAGTTCTACATTGAATGAAGAATCCAAAACGTAAGATTTCTTATTTCTCCAACGTGTTACAAAATAAAGAAGTAATCTAGCACAAATAGGTCTCCTTTGTTATAGCTATGAAAATGTTTGGTTATAAGTGTAAGGTATTTTTCGGTATTCTGGTTTGTATTTTATTCATTCTTATCTTTCATTTTTGTGTTCGGTCTGTGTTTCACAAACTTGTTTTACATGCTGATAACCATGAGGTCTTTATGGTAGAAGCAGATCTGTTGTGAAAACTGAGTGATTCCAAGACACAAGGATGAATCAGATTGATATATTCAACCATGAAAATTCTTCCAAACACTTGGAAGTGCACACTTGATCTGAGACTATACGCTCAGGCAGACACTCACAATGTTACAAAAACGCATTAATGTTTGTGCACGACCTCTGATTAGACCAATACTTACATCAATTTAGCATCTATTCATCAAATGCACCAATTAGGAGAGGAGAAAAGTGAGAATTGTTAAGTCTAAGCTTTAAACAAACTGGCCCAGCTAACAGCAGAAAAGGAAATTCAACAAATATATTTGGCAGTCATTATTTCTCTTAGTCCAGGTCAAGAAGCAAAAAAAGTTCTCATAATGTTGTACTTGTCTTTTGTAGGTTCAAAGTTTTATAAAGTTGGAAAAACTAAGGAATCACTCACATTTCATTATGTTATTCCATCTATCAATGGTGAGTGAAAATTCAGAGGCCAATGTACCATTATTTAAAGTGATAGCAACATATTAATCAACTCCGAAGCTACCATTCAGGGTCAGCTAATGTTAGCATCCAATCACTTCCTTTCTAACATTCCCGTTAGATCTAGAAGATCGTAAGACTTATTTGAAAAAAAGTTGTAAATTCCTTGCTAACAGTGGTTGTGAATGCTAATTAAGCTGTTATAACTATTTTTCCTGTTACCTGATCAATCAGCCAATATGTCTGAAGTCTCTCAGGTTTTTAATATCCAATAACTTGTTAGGTTCTGATCATTTTGAAAGCAATGACATTACAACAATTTCAGGTTCCCTACAATAACATACCAAGAAAACCTATAAGCCAGCTGTACAATATTATATAGGTTTTGAGGTTCCCACGCTCAAAGTGGCATCAGAGGAAAATTGCTGCATAGTGAATATTGAGTATTTTTGCTGATAAAAGCATGGGGTTGGTTTGTCAATTGAATCATTGCAGCATCTCATCACAACTTCAGTACAAAACTGCAACTCCGAAATGTCCCCCCGACAGTTAATACCAATTAGCAGTTTTCTATTTGGGCTTATTGAAAGTTTCATTTTCTAGAATTAAAGAAAAAAAAGTTAAGCAAAAGATTCTGTCCACACTTAATGTTGCATGGATACATGATCCCATCTATTTCAGATTAATAAACGCAAACATATCCATCTTAATATGAAAACAAAATAAATAGCGCTTCAGTAGGGGTTGATAAATTTATATTTTATCAAGACCCTTTGTTAATTGAAGGGAACAGTTTAAATCCCTTATTATCATCAGAGAACCAAGTACTGTACTTGTTGTTTGTTAGCGTAATGGTGTAAATATTAGTCAAATGAACTGAAAGATTTAAAAAAGGAAATGTGGTAAACTGATACGGCATGAATAGAATAAATAACCGATGTTGCCATTCTTTTTGAAGCAAATGGTCTATTCAGGATTTAAGACACATGATGTACTTATACTGTACATGCTCATATACACTGTGGCTTATACCAAACCATCTGACAGAAAGTATGTGGTCCTCTCAGTACAGACAATAATGCTACTTGTTCTCTCCTTGCATTATCCATCCCAACTCCTATTGACATATCTACAAGGAGGGGAAGAATGCAGTTACATGGGACATTGTTGATGAATACTTTTTCTAGAAAAATGTTTTTTTTTCCCTCTCAAATAAGGATCTTCAAATGAAAAATGGCATATGAAAAGAAATCAATCTGTGGTTAATCTGTGGGTAAAGATCAGTCTGTTTTACAGTACAAACATCAAAAATCAGTCCGAAGGAGCACCACCTTTGTGTGCCTCTGTTGAAGACCATCTCCTGCACACAAGGGAGCAGAATTAAAACTCAAACATGTCGTTCTGCTTCTTAGCCAGCTTGGCCACCTCCTGCCGGATAGCCTGCACCAGTGCAGAGGTGGAGAGGCTGCTCAGGGGCATGCTGTCCATGTCCTTCACCACCTGCTTCAGGCTTTGCTTCGATGCTGTGCTTGGGGCAGCGGGTGGTGGCTCCAGTGCTGGGTTAAACTCCAGGGGCAACCTGTTGGGGCTCCCCTGTGGGTATCGAGGATGAGGAAAAGCCTCTACATACCCAGGCAGGGGCAACTGGAAAAAAGGGGGTACAGGAAATCAGAAATAAACATTACTACCCAAAAAAAAGGAAGGCTGCAATTTTTTTGGATTAAAAGAATACATTACGTGGGGATAAGCTTTTATGTTGTTGTGCAAACTTTTTCACTTGCAGATTATTTTGATAAGATATTAACAAATGATAAGTGAAATGACAGGGAAGGTAATGAGTATGGAGAGCTACTGTCAAAGTATATGATACTAAAATGAGTTCAGTTCAAACTGTGTTTGAACTCTAAAATGTACTACCTTTGAATTCTGGTACAAAAATCTTTGTAGGCGTCATATTTACACGATATAATGAAAAACAAAAAAGGAAAATAGGTGTTCTTTTAGTAAATGTGCTCAACTACCCTGGTGTTTTGTTGTGTCCACTCAACAGCAGCCATAAATTCGGATCAGCAAATGGTTTCTATATGACACTGGTTCTGCAAAAAGACACTGCGTGAAGACAACTGGTTGAAACAGGCAAACAGACAGGCAAAAAGAGAACATCCCAAACAGACAAGGTGAGTACTGTGTGAAGGAGGAGAAGGAGGGCTGCATGGGTAACAACAGATGTGACAAGACAAATGGAACCCATCTTGTTTTATTGAAAAAGAGGAGAAAGTAGGTGGATGCTTAATGAGGCATGTTCAAGGGTAGATAAGGACACTTGCATGAAAATACTCTTAGAATCAATGTCAGTCAGTGACACAGTTAGATGCTCTGCAGAAAACACAGCTTTAACACAGAGTAATGATAATAACATTACAGGTATATTCAAACACTTATCTTCCTATTGAATGTATCATTCATTTTCCATTTTATTCCAATTTAACTTTTTTTTTTCTCAACTTTCCAGCCGTAGACAGCCCAGCGATAGAGAGAGAAACTTCCTGAAAACATGTTTTACAATTGGGGTAAAAGTAATAACGCTCCATAAGATTTTACATTATTTTTTCAGTTACCAAAAATGTACTTTATGATCCAGAAACTCGCATTTTTAGTCTCTGCAATTTAATGACTGTCTGAGTGAGTTTGACCTCACAACTATTAATAGTGGAGAGATGTAAAATATCTTCTTTTCTAACTTGTTTGTTCACTAGATAAAGGCTTTATTTCAACAATACACTGTATTTAATATCCAAAAAGATTTGTTTTTTATTTCTCAAAATGAAAGAGCTAACTTATCATACAAAAGCAGTTGGGGCGCAGGAACAAATTCCATAAAAGAGGGAGTGGCCTAGTTTAATACCTCTGCTCATGTTTTAAGTAAATGGGTGTCTGAGAAGTAAGCTAAGTGAACGTCCTTACAGAGTCAGCCCACTGTGGCGGTACATCCTCAGGCTCTGGTGGATAGGACATCCAGGAGGGACTGTGGTAGGAGGTGGGTGGGGTAGAGACAAAGTATTCTGAGTAGCCGGGCCTGCTGGCTGGGATGGCGTAGACGGCTGTTATTGGGTTTCCTAAAGAGAACAGAAGAGAGGAGAGGCAGACATTTGATGATGAAAATAATCCAGGTGATGATTAGATTAAATGATCTATATTTAGATTTTATGTTTGAGAATTAAAAATATATGTTAGGATACCAGCAAAGCAAATGACTGGTTACTTTTGAACTGCAAAGACATGATCTCATCATTTGTTACCTGAGTAGTTAGACACAGGCTGCTCTGCAGTAATAGATGGAAGTGCTGCTCTGGTCGTTGGCCCGTATGGGTTGTTGTCATGTTGACTCTGCATTTCAGCAACAGATGTCTCTGAGCTCCTTCCCTTAGGCCCCAAGTCAGAAGCGGAACTGTTGGATACAGATTGGTTAGAAATAAAAATAATGTAACTGATATACCTGGTCAGGACCGCTAGATGGCAGTGACAGTACGTGGGAAAGTGAGCACCTTATTAACATTCCTCCCATCTCTCAATGCACTAGTTCAATATTCAAATTTATACATTTCCTCAAATCACCCTGGCCACAGCACATTATCTAGTGAATACCTAGTCCCTGAATATGAATGTGGATAAATGTGGAATATCTGATGGGCTTTGGGATTCTCCAGACAGTGGGTGTATGTCTGTGACTTATCGAGCCTTACCGCCTTAAGGAGGTCCCAGGAGGAGGACCAGTGCGAGGAGGTAAAGGTGGAGGAGAACCCATGGCCATCTCAGGAAGCTGGGTGAAGTGAAAGGCCTACAACAGATAGAGAAAACATGTAAGGTTATATAAGTTCTATCACATTGTTTTACAGGGGACCGATACATTCAATTTTACCGGTTTAGGAAGGCTGCACTGATACACGTCCGAGCCATATGATGGCACCCACTGGAGGCCTCCTCGTCCACCAGTCATTGTACCAGGGGCGCTGGTCACCACTTCTGTGTAGGGGAGGGGAGGTGGTCCAGGGCTGTAGTGGTCCGGAGGTTGGTGATGATGGTGATGGGACTGTCGTCCGGACGTGGACTGCCCACCTGAAGCAAGGCTGAATGCCTCCTCCAGCAGCAGGTGCATCTGCTGCCTCACTTCATCAATAGACGGCTGTGAGCTCAGAGTGGAGGTCTCCGAGTGGCCTTTCAAGCCCCGGCCGTACATATAACCGCGAGGACCCATCAAACGGTCTACATTCGTCTCCTCAATCAACTCAGGCTCAGTCTAAAACAGAGACAATAGAAAAACACTGATATGAACTGAAATCTAGACCTACAGCTGTAGCACGTATCTTCAAACTTTGACCTGGAAATACACATGGAAACAGTGTTAAAGAATCAAACATAGATACATTGAAATAGTAGAAGCTATTTCACAACAGTATGTGCAATATATCTGGTTGATAATGTGTGAACCACAGTAATATTAAGAATATAAATGGACACTGTAAACTCTTTTATATGTATTGTTTTGTTTTTGGGCAGCTTGGCAGTCTTAAGAATGTGATTGCACACATCATTGAGAAGACTGAGTTGTCCAATATGTGTATTCAGTCCAAGCTGATATTCTTGTGTGTTTCCAGTTTAGCAAAATTGTAGGAACAATGTATAAAAGTACTGAGAGAGTACTTTTCAAGCTTAAAGTTCAAGGAGTTTGAAGTGCGATACCTAACAAATAGCGATATGAGGAAATCAGTCTGTTGGCTGCTAGTATGTTAGAAGACACTTTATGTTTCATGCCAAAGTGAATTATTAAAGATCTCTGAGATATGCAGCCATGCAGAGCTGAAGTGGTTGTGTTACTGTATTTCTGGAAATGGCTTCAAAGATATATTTTTTACCCATGCATTCCCAGAAGTCCCTTTTTTTGGTGACTGGTTGTTCAGTGATAAGCTAGCAACAGAGCATATGTCCTAAATACTTTGATAGACAAGGCCTGAGACTGAGGAGGAAGGTGGTGGATGGATTTTTGAATATTTGATTTTTAAAGCTTATTAATAGCTGCTTGTCTAATTGAAATGCGGTCATTATATTAAACTAGAGCAAACGTTTTAGTCAAGAGCACAAATGTCACTGTAGTTGTACTGAGGGTTTGTGTGGCTGAATCTGTCGGCACCCCAGGAGGCACGTTCTGATTTACACCTGGATTCAAATATTAGAAAATGAAGTCTATCCTATTGAAAAAGCAGGATATCAACAGAGATACCCCAAGGAAGCTGGAAAGTTACAAGTTCAATAATGTCACCTGTCATTCTCTCAGTGGGTTGTTGACTACATGCCAGCTGAGATTGAAGAGGCTGTTTAATGTTTTTTTCTGAGTTTTGGAGACATGTCAGCAGGAAGGCTCTGAACCAGCAGTGTTACTGCTTGGTCCCAGTAGGTTCAGCAGTAGAAGCAGCCAGTTTGTTTGAATAAGAGCTACGCTACACTCTTCTATACTCCAAACAATGGTGGGACAATGGTGGGAAATACTCAAATATTGTCTTTTCTAATCTACATTATAGTATACTTAATCATCTTGTATGACCATTGTTACATCATACTACAGTTCTAATAACTTTCCTGCGGCCTCACTCCATCTTTCCATCATCTTTTTCACATTTTTAAAAGTCCCTTCATCTTTTCATACCCTCTGCACTCTCCCCAAGACTCTGTTTCAATCTATCCAGTCGTTGTATTCAGTGATGAATGAACACGAGTTGAGCCTACCCTACTTCCTATGCGAATTGAAGGTAGCCACAGGAGACAATGGAGACCTGGTGTTGTGCACCTCATAAATCAGCCAGAAGAAGAAAATCGGTCTCTTTTCGGGTTCATACCACTGAACTAATCCAGTGAAGCAGCTGTATAATTCATAACCTACTGTTGATCTGAGTCTCAACAGAAGAACAGGCCCTCCTTTGGGACGTTATAGACAAAGAAATTAGGGTGTTCACCTTGCAGATGTAATCCCTGCAAGGAAAAGTCTTGGCTGGAAGTTGTTTTATGCTAACCGCTAGCTTCACCGGAATCACGGAGATCATGCATCTATTCCCCGAGACATATTCTTTTAGACGTTAAAAGTCGACGATTGCCAATGGGTTCCCAAATTAGGTTGACAAGCAGAGGGTGGCGAAACAGGTGTTCTATCAAAAAGTGCTACCCAACGAGATGTGCTACCACCATGCAGCTCTAAGTAGTACAGGGAGCATTATTTGATAAGGGATGTTTGTCTATGGAGAAATGCTTCCTCTTAAATCTTAAATAAAGGTTTTAATATATCAACCTGTTGTTTTAAAGTGATTCAGTACTGGGGGTATCATTTGACAGGGAATAATTGTCCATTGAAATTTTTACTGAAATCTTAAATAACAGAGTACTAAAACCCTTTCTCCATACTCTAGCTGAATTAATATGGTTATTTTGTTCTGGTAACATTATTTGATAGGGGACACTGAGAGCCTCTGCTATTGTTTCGCAATATGGTAGCACCGGCAAAGACGCTGTAAGAATCTGAAGAATCATGTGGACTGACAAAATCTCAATAGCTCATGCATGTACAAACCTACAGTTGGCTGGACCCTGCGGCTGGCATGGTTCACTCCTAGCATTCTGGGGACTGCCAATGTGGAGCCTGGCTAGAAAGACATCGTCGGCTCACGTTCCTCAGCCCCTCCTTCCACCATACCAACAGGTGTTTAGCTCCCATATAAAACCCCTTATTCTCCACCCCACCCATCAATCACCCTTCACACAACTACATAGACACACTCCCACCTCCAAACTCAGGTCTGCGGATGCAAACCTTCCCCCCCCCCTGCAGGACAAAATATCAGTCCTGGGGGGACAGGGCCTTCTCCATTGCTGCTCACACCCTCTGGAACTCTCTCCCTAAAAACATTAGAGACTCCCCCTTCCTTCAAGAAATCCCTAAAATCTCACCTCTTCAATACTGTCTACAACCACTAACTCCCCCCCCCTTACATTACTCCATTGTACTGTCCTCGTCTTTCTTGTTTTTTGGTTGTTGTTTTTTTGTCAAAGCGTCTTTTGGTATTTGGAAAAGCGCAATACAAAACAAATGTATTATTATTATTATTATTATTATTCATAAACATGTCTATTTTATTTTCTATTTCTGTGTCCCAGTGAGCCAGCACAACAACACCAGAGCCAAATACACCTGCTTTTTTCACATTGTGACTGGTCAAAGTGGCTGGCAGGTCGATGGCAGTTCAGTGAAATCACTGCTCATATATATTTTACAAAAGGACAGCTCTGAATGAAAAACACCCTTTTAGGATTGGTCAGCTCCATTACTCAGGAGGCTCACATGCTAGTATTCTGACCTCAAGACAGAAAGAGTTGTACACAGAGCCATAATGGAACAATAAAAGAGCCCAGGCATAAACCAGAAAGCCTGAGACACACCCTATGTCAAGACGACAGGAGCTTGTAAATCTTTACGCTTAATTATGAATGAGCAATTTTTCTTCCTTCAGCTTTCTGTGGCATACTTGCACCTGGGTAGTGGAATGGGACTGATTTTTAAGCTCAGCTAGTGGGCTTTTAATAGGGGCAAGAAGGCACAGTTTTGGGGCAGTAAAACGCTTAAATAGGATTAAAAAGTGTTGTAACTTAATATGAACTGAAGCATTTAAGCATAGAAATGTACTGATATTTATATTAAAAGTACATCTCTAACACATCATGAATGCAATTTAATTAGTACACATGTATTGAAAATTAACAAACTATCAACAAACTATCAACACAGTGTTGCTCTGTAAATTGCTATGCTAGCAGAGGTGCTACTTTTTCTAAATAGTAAAGATTATGTAAGTTGCCCTCTGGCTTGCAGACAGGGTCACTCGGTGATGACATGTGACTCACATCATAGCCGCTGTTGCGAATGCCTCTCCTAGGTCTCTCCCTCATAACAAGCAGGTCCATCTCTGTTCCTCCAGGACTGGGACTGCTCAGACTCTGTCTGCTGCGGTAGGCTGTCTGCCCTACCTGGGAGTGCCTGCCAATGAGAGAACGGAGCAGCTTAAGTACATATCATACCTGGGGTACAGTTAACATAACTGAAGTTCTTTCTGGTCGATTTGTTGCTATCAGGCATGATCGCAGAGGGCGTGCAGTGTAAGGTAGCTGGGACTTGGAGGTTTTGGAGAACACAGAGGGGGGGAAAGGATCTGATTAGTTAAAATACATACAGTGTGTTCAGAGACCTCATGTAAAAGAGCTGAATCAGCCGATTACATAATAATGTCGCCATGTATGACGATGTCCTTGGAGCAATACACAGCACTAATAATGCCTCTAGTAAAAAGAAAAATAATGATTTACAATGCAAAGATGTATATCAGCATGAGGTTGATGTAACTGATTAGCCTCGCATTAATGTTACACTGAAAACTGTGGTTAAAAGCCTTATCTTACTCATCATGGTGGGACATAAAAATAGCAAGTTCATTCAACCCTTCACTAAGGCAACACACAAGCCAAAATTCAAATGTCGCTTTCCGCTCTAAATGCATCTATTCAGATGTTTATCTCATGTAGAAAAGGCTGTTTTCTCCTCTTGACCTGAGTCTCTTCTTTCCTCTTCAATCCTCTTCTCTCCGTCTTCAAAGCTCAGGACTAAAACTAATTAGCCAGCACTGATGGGTCTGTCCCTGCCTACTGGGACAGGTTATTGAGAACATGAGATTACAATATCTAGCTACAGTACATAGATTGTATTTATAAGAGAAATAGCCAAACTCATTGCTATGACTTTATCACAGTTGATTAGTGGCTGCGTTTGCAACTGATCATTCATAGATACGTTTTTATATCGCTGCTTTTTGTTTTCATGCTGCTATTTTTAATATCCAGATTGTGCAATTGAGGGCACTCTGCTAACTTTTCTCCCCTCACTCATATCCCTACTCCCCATTTCTTTTTTAAACTCTTTTGATTGGTGGGTTTCAGGAGACATAGACACATGTTCATGTCTTCATACATTCTGTAAATATTTATTAAAAAGACATGAAGAATGAGACATAAAAAGAGAAAAAGAAAAGAAAAGGATATTATATGTTTTACATCATAATTCCATTATCAATCATGTATGAAAGGTTGCCATACTGAATAAAATACATGTACCTTCACTCTTAGTACAGATGTATTTTTTTCTAATTGTAGGTGCTTCATTACATCTTTTAGTAAGATAAGTGAGCTGGCAGGTTTTTCTGTTTACAATTCAGCAAAATTCACCTTATTGCCAACATAAAAGTCAAAAAGCGAATCATATTAATGTGGTTGTTGGAGAGCCCCTCAGTTGGCCTCACTCCAAGCAGTGCCAGAACTGGGTCTGATTTAAGTTGCTTCTGTAAAATCTCAGACCAAATTCTGAATATTTTAGTCATGTAAGTAAAAATGTTCGGGCAGCTCCAGAACATGTGTGCCATTGAGGATGATCCTTGTCCACACCTATCACAAGATAGATTTACAGTGGGAAATCTTTTTGAAAGTTTCAGTTTTGACATCTGTAGCCTGTGTAGTATTTATACTACAGCATACATACTCCATGTGTGTTTTTAAAGATGTATTTGTGAGTTTTTGCCTTTATCTGATAAGATGGTGTATAGAGTAGGACGCCACGGAGAGAGAGCGGGGAATGACATGCGGGAAAGGAGCCACATCCTGCCTGCTTGGAGGGCCATATAGCCTTCGTATATGGGGCTTTCTACTTGGTCATCTGCGCCCCAACTTCATATGTTATTTACATAAAGCTTAACACTGATATTGATTCTAGATTTTTTTCTTGCAGTAGCTGATGCTGAACATGCTCTGGAATGACAATAAACCTCCTTTAAGCCTTGAATAGACAGAGCTGTCATATAGCATACTCTGTTTTCATTGATTTGACTCTAAATAGGACTAAATAACTAAATAAATAATTTATTAAACTTCATATTGAATAAGACTTCAAATGAGCAATTGAGTCTGTAAACTCATTAGTAAATGTTTACTAAGGTATTCAATCTACTGAGGAGTGGTGTAATTATCTCATCTGGTTTCAAACGATCAAACTTTAGCTTGCAACCAGTTGCCCCCTGCTGGCCATCTTAAATGATGCAGGTTTAAAGCCCTTCCATATTTGTGTAACTCTTATAAACAGTTTAGATACAAACCTTTATATACAGCTTATATTTCTTGATAAGCTAATTGGGAAACGCCAAGGTCATCATAAATGAATGAGAATGAGAAAGCCCAGTCACCTGCAGATCATTCATTATATCTTAAACCCCAGGTTCCACTTGCGTTTTCCTCTCACCTCCTGTGAGACTTGACAAAAGTGGAACCTCGCTCATCATCAGGCTCCTGTGGTCTGCCATGCTCACCGGCTGCCCTCTCATGGCCGTGCCGCTGTCTCTGCACCAGAGCTGGGCCGCTGCTGCTGCCATCATTGGAGGGGAAGTCATAATAACCCTTCCTCTTAGCCTTCAGCCTCAGCTTGTTTCTGTAGTGCTCAATATCTGACTTCTGCTTCAGAGCCAAGTTCACCTGCAGAGAAGAGAGAGTGCAGGGTGCAAAGACACATGTAGAGATCAGAATGTAAACAGATCAGATACAAAGATGTGGCAAGATTCAGCTTTTTCATTAAATGTGTGGGGGAAAGATTGTATTATACTGGGAAATAAGACTTGAATAAGCAAGTGCATATGCAAAGTAAAACAATGGCACTTATTTAAAAGGACTGGGAATTTTCTTCATCAGAGTGGAACATCTTTTAAAGTATTTCTTTGTAGCATTAAATATTAAATTTAGGATGGACAGCTGGGAAAAAAAACGTTTTGTTCATTTTTTATTTCACGTTCGCCTCATAAGAACTGTGTGTGGCTGTAGTTTAATCAAAAGCAAAAACTTACAATATTGTTTTGATTTTATTCTCTTTTTTTTGCAAAACTTTTAATGGTAGGAAAGAAATATAAAACCACTTTTTCATCTTAGAGCTGTCCGATATAAATCAGAAAATGGAGCAAAGTATCACAAATGAAAACAAATATTCCTCGTGTGAAATTATCTTAATAAGCATTGTTGTAGAGTGGTGAACTACATGTAATAAAATGCTTTTTTAACTTGGCAGTAATTGACTAGTCGTTACACTATGTTTGTATCATTCAATTACTAACATTATTTTTTTTGTCTTTTTTTTAAGTTAATAACTAAAATTAGAAATACATGTCTCTAAAAGGCTAACAAGCTGAGAAGGAAACCAATATTTTCTGGACTGTTCTGCTTTTTGAACAGATTTCTTTTTTTGTAAAGTTCAAGCTCAAACAACACAGTAAAGGAAACGGATCAACCCAATCTGTCAGACTTGTAGTTTTTCTTTTGTAGTGTTTGTTTGTTAGTTTTTCTTCAACTGGTACAACTTTTTCTTCAACTTTTCTATCATAGATTAATTGGCATATTACCTTGCATATATCTTTTTGTATCACATATTGTCTTAACTTTCAATCAAATTTCCATTTGATCATTTGTTTCAATTAAGTTTGAACTTGTTTTTTTAAAGAAGCTTTCTTTAACTAAACTCTAATTCTTCCTAGATTAGCGTTATCTTTGGTAAACTGCTTCCACTGTGAGGTCATTGGAAGCTTGCAAAGTAAGAAACTTTCACCTAGCTGATAATTAGTGGGCGCTTGTTTGTGTCTCTCAAAAGATCTGTCAGAAAAAGCAGGTTTTTAGGTACACAGGTAATTTGTGTATCTATGGTCAATTATTCCGGTCTGAGTTTTTATATATTTTTACATTTTTTTCGATATTGATATAAGTGTGTGTATCACCTCTCCGTTGACGATGGCTGACTCGCGGTTGCGGTCAGAAGATGCAGGGTAAGAGTAGTTGGGGTTAGCCGCCATAGGCTTTATGGAAATGAGCTGCAGGGAGCCAGAGGAGGTGTCATATGGATCTGAAGAACAGAGAGGGAGTTCACTCACAAAGAGAATACAAATTCCTCTAATCATTCCATTGTCAGTCACTCTCTCTCTTTTTGAGTCTCCGTCTCATCACCTCGTCTCTGTGGCTGTGAGATTATGTCAAACATCAGTCGCTTGTGTCAGCAAATTAAGTGGTGGATGGAGACAATCGATCATAAAGATAGCGTTAGCTTCAAAGCTTGTGCCTATACATCTCTGTGATAGATGAAAGGAACTGACTTTGCACTTTCAATCCTTATCAGACATCAGACAAACTTGATTCAGTTCTAGTCTCCCTTAACTCAGCTGATGAATTATTCAAATCCAGCCATTAAGAAAATCATAATCTAGAGAGCTAGACGCAATTTGCAGGCGGAGAATCTGAATTAGATCAATTTTTACTCACAGCCCCACATGTGGAACATTTAGCTTCACAGAATAGTAGAGGGAATAGTTCAACGTTGAAGAAGCTTTTACTCCAACCACCCATCAAAGCATCAAAATGTGTGACACTGGGTTAGTGAATGTGTGCGTGCATGTGGTTCTGCCAGTGTGTCACAGCATACACTACTCTGACATACTGTATCATGTCAGCAGAGTGTCTTTCATGCATATTCATCCAGTCAATCTGTGCTCACTGCTGAGTGGCTGCTTTTCTGGCTGTAAAAAAAAAAAAGCTGCAGTGGCAGAGTGTGTGCACCCAGAAGTGTTTCACACAGGAGAGACAAGGGGTAATGATTTCCTGCACGTGTGATATGGTCTGAAAATGAGCCGCAGAATGAATGATTTGTGTTTTGCATCAGAGTCTGATTCTCACCATCTCTCTTGCGCGTCTCCTCCTTTGTCAGTTTCTGCTGCGCTGTGACTTTTAGCACCGTCAAGGCCCGGCTGGAATTCAGCTTCTCTGATTCGTTGCTGATGACGGAACCGTCCTCGCTCGGCAACTTGCTGCAAGTAACCATAGCAACAGGAAAGGCGGTGAGATCTCCGGAAGCTGGGCTCGCAGCCAGGTTATGTCATCCCTCCTTTAAACAACCCCACCTGCCTCTCCCCTTCTCTAGAGTAAGCATAATGTGTCATGATTGTGTTTCTATTTGCACAACAAAAAATGCATAATCAGTGCTGAAACCATCAGTGCACACTGCCTGTTTTTGAAGAATATCAGTTGAATCAAGACTAATGAGTCATGTGGGGCTACATTATTAGCGAAATAATAGCAAATGCAAAACTATAAATTACTGTCCCAACACGTTTAGAATTTTTGGATAATATCACTAAAATCTTGGTGGATGTGCATTGCAGGCTTTCATGAATAAGCTTGTCTCTTTATGTGTCTCCACTATGTGCACATAATGGCTGTGTCACATGTTGTGTCTCCAATCTTATGTTCAATTATGACCAGAGCGAGGCAAAGTACTGGTTCTTCTATTAACACAAAAAACAATTGCTTTATCCAATTCTACTTTCACTAGCTTGAAAGGCTGAACTGTGGTTGGAATTAGAGCTGATCAAGCAGCGGCACCGAGGACCACAAGGCTGACAGTGACATCAAAGCACCGAGGTCTATCCCCTAATTGTCTGGTAAAAAATGATAACGGAAGAGAGACAGAAGAACAGTGGCGGCGGTGCTGCAGAGAGCTCGCTTCGTGCAACAGTCGCAGGCTCAACAAAGACGTGTTATGTGTATTAATTAAACGAGGTGTAAAGAAAACATTTGTTTCAGCCATTTGAAAGGATTGTGCATTTGATCCTGCAGGGCTAACAGTTGTGTGACCTTGGTTCAAGTAATATGATGACTTATAAGAAAGGAAGACAACAATTAGAGGAAATTCTCCAGCGTGCCTGTGTGCATGTTTTCAGATTTGTTTTTGTCAAACATGCATAACAACATCTCAGCCTTGAAATGTTGACATGTAATTATGTAGCCTGATAGAATTAAACAACAAGTTATGGCAAGTATTTTGAGAAAAAGCATAAAATGAACACAGCTTTGACTGGTTTGTCAATGAAATCAAATACATAAGCATTAAAAACATGTTCCACTTGCAGAACAGCTGCTTTTATTCTGGCTATGACACATGTTGCTAAGACACTTAACCATGAATTATCTCCATATCCGGTCTTGCAAATCCAATTGTTTCAGAGGAAAACACTGGTCATTTTGAGAATAACATGCATCAAATCAAAGTCTAAAAAACAAATATCAAGCACACTCTTTGCAATTCATTTCTTTAACTTCACTGCAGGTACGGGCATTTTGAGAGGTGTTTTGAAGATCGAAATGTAAAACTTTTGATTTCTCATAAGTCCCCACAGACTTAACTGCAGCACCTCCAGTCTAAAGATTTCCTCTACGGTCAGATACATCTTATTTGATCTTATTATCCTGCACGGCTTTAAAAAACTGTAGACTCTTGCACTCCTCGATTGAATAATTTAGTATTATTCAACATGGCAATTCATTTCCAAAAGGGGCATTAGTAACTGTCAGGAAAGGAAAATGGTCAATTTCACCTGCCTATGCAGAGATCTTTGTAAATGACCAATTATATTATTCAGCAACCGGGTATAAGGGGAGAAAATAGGGCTGGATCTTTGTGTTTTATCGTCCTGTCTTTTAATATGTGAACTAGGAGATTTCTAACACAGCAGAGGGGGGAATTATTGAGAAAGCAAAGATGTACTTTTACCAGATGCATTCTTCTTATGAAACATTACAGTTGAAAGGAAGTCTTTAATATGTTACTGATTGAGCAGATTATCATCTGGTTGAGGAGGAAGAATGTTTATTTTTAACAAGTTTAACAAAAGACCAAGACACATTTCCCAATGGAGAAATTATAGAGAATCATATGGCATCGTATGGTATCATTTCATTTCATATAGTACTCACAGATGTTGAATGTTCTTGTTTATCAGTTAAATTTATAGATTATAGCTTACTAAATATGAGCCTTAAAAAGGATTGCGCTCTTTGCTCTGCAACAGGTACAGCTGCCACCACATTACAAGAATAAGCTAGAAGATTCCATTGATCTGGAAATCAACGTCTGTAGTTTTATTTGTCCAAGCCTGAGCCGCAGCCTCTTAGCGTCAGTAGGTCATCATCATAATGTATCATATCTGTGTAAATTATTTTTCCTGCCATAGTCACAATCAGTACTGACTTTTTCTGAACAGTTCAGTGAGAAGTCCTCTAGCCCCAGCTGGTGAAAAGTTTTGGTCTCATTAAGTAGATGTCTGTCAATGTGGAGTAACAGAGACAGTGTAAGCCCTCGGAGCTGTCACTGTTGTCGTGGTTGTCTGATAGTGCTGTCCGTGGTGTTGATGTGACTGTCATGATGTCACTGTGTTACTGACTTTGTCACGCACTGATAACTGACTGAGGTCTCAGACTGTTTGTGTATGAACTGTAAAGTAGCGCTGATGATTCTTGCAGAGACCACTGTGCAAATCTTGTAAATAACGCTGCACTGTTGGGTGCATCTTAGGTGTGTCATAATGTTGTCATTCATTTGGACTGATCTGTTTACGTAGAGCCTAAAGTAAATAGGCATGTATATTATATTGAAGTCTTTCCATCTGGTACTTGTGTTGAATCAAGGACTTTGGCACACAGTTTAAACTTCTGCGCCATGAAGAGCATCAAGAAAGGATTTCCACGTATTCTGTAAGTACGAAATGTTTGAGTCTTGTTATAGTATATAATATATAAAACAAAAAAGTGGGGAGTTTAATTGTATCTCTTAACAGTCAAAGATGCAATGAATCCTTACTTAAAACACTCAAACATACTTAAAGTTAAATAACTATGTCATCACAGTACACTTTACTTGAAATTAAATTCATGTTTTTCAGACTTCATGATGCCCATTTCCACAAACGCACTATTACTGTGTTTGGATATGTTCTGTTGATTGTCCTGAGTTTAGTTTTCAGTGTTTCCTGTGGTCTTATTTTGTCATTTTCACCTGTGTATCATGTCTACAGTGATTCTTCCTGCCTCTGTGTGTTTCCTTCCTGTTTTGATTGCCTTGATTGTTCTCACCAGTTTCTACTCACCCCAATGTCTATTAATCTTAGGCTGTGTCTGAAATCACACACGCATTCCCTCCTCCCTCCTCTCTACATAGTGAGTCATATGTAGTGGACTATATAGTGCACTCATTCGGTAAAAGAAAAGAAAAACGGACACTACTCGCTGACTCAGATGTCATTGTTGTCTTACTATTAAAACGTGCAGCTGAACTCCGCCAGAGGATCAATAATAATCAATTTCAGTGATAACTTAATTAAACTGAGTGTTTTTTCACAAAACATTTATAAATCATGAATAAATATAAAATATTGATTTAAAAAAAAAAATTCTCATTTATTCATGCTTACAGACTCAGGTCTCGTGTCTGTCATCATCATCAGGACAAACTAACGTTACTGACAGTCCTTTACTCTTTATTCAAACAGATTTCAGAAAAAACGCTCCAAATATGAACTTTATTGTGTTCTTACTGGTTGCTCCTCCTACGCAATGCATGATGGTATATATTGCTCGGATAGTGACCATCAGTTGTACACTACTTTTCACAATGCATTGTGAGTGGACTATATAGGTATGATCATGCTCACTCAGAATTGTGACACCACTTCAAAATGGTGCGTTCACTAGTGAATAGTGAGTGATTTCTGACTCAGCGTTCCTTCCCTTCGGTGTCAGTTCGTATGTCTTCCTACCCGTGGTCCTGTGTCATCTGTTTCTATCCTTGCGGCTCCTAGATATTTGTTTTTCCCTTTTTGTGGATTTTTGTTGGACAAAGAAGTAAGCCCAGGTTTTGCCTCTTTGTTTAATTAAATATTTTTGCTTTTCTAACCGTGACATAAGTCTTTATATGCAGTCAACACATCTATCTAAATCTTGTCTCCTTGTGTTTTAATAGTTTATCTGTCCTCAGGAAGTTTTGTAATGAAGGCTGTAATTAATGTGTCTTGTCAAAACTGTTTTGTAAACAGGTTTTTAATTAAATCTGACATTTAAATAATTGCAAACACAAATCATGCAGTGTTTAATCTTACTCTCCAGATTAAATAAACCAAATCCTCTATGATTGCAACTGAATACCAATAAATTGTTGCTTTGCCTAATTACTCACAGGGACACTATGCCAATATGATAAAGAAATGGTTGGCTTTGTGATTCAATCTCCAAACAAAAGTTTTGTACTTCAACAATAACAATGCCATCCAAGCTGGGGTGAATAATCTTTTTAAACAAAATTAGAAAACAATAATTTAGGGAGATTGAAGCAGAAGCAGTTGAATATATGCACATCTATTCATACCTTTTGTGTTTATCAGAGGAGAGACTCTTCTTGCTGACCGTTCCATCTTGCTGTAGGCTCTTTTCCAGTGAGAGTGGTGTGTCCCGAATTTGCAGAGACATCACTAAGGTATCCTGGCTGGCTGGCAGGGTCTCCTCATCCCCTCCCTGTTGGCCCAGATGCTGCTTAGCATAATCGAAGCCCTGGACTGGCTGATGGACAGGTTCGGAAAGAGGAGTAAGAGAAAGAGAGATAGTTTTTAGTTAGGCTGTTTGTTTCAAATACCTTAGTAATAAGGACCTTAATCCACAGAAGATACAAAGAGATAAACATTAGCCATACATTAAAGGTGTTGCATGGACATACATCTCTAAAATCCTCAGTGGTGTATTCTTTAAGAGATGTCCAGAGGATTAAGGGAGCAGGAGTGGGATTACTGAGCTGTGGTGCCTTGAAATAGATAAGCACAGATTTAACCGAGGCCCTTTCTCATCTTCTTCCAAATTCTTGTCAAAGAAATAACCAGCAGTGGGAGGTGACAAGATGAGATCTGGAGACTTCTACAGAAATATAGAAGTGAAGTTAAGCTTCCAGATGGATTGGTGGATAAGAGGGATGAGGATTCATGGATGGCTTCATGTTTATGGAGCGGTTAGGGGCCAAAGGAGTTCAAACCCACACATGTAGACACTGCAATATTAAGGACTACTCTCATGGGAGTGTCATAAATTGTCAGACACACATCGTTGCCTCAGTGCAGCCAAGCCGTGGTGCAAAATCAATATGTGATATTCCCCCCAATGGAGAAACATGCATCCTCTCTCTCTCTATCTCTCTTGACAGCGCACAGACACAGGAACTTAAAGATTTCCTTCTACTTTTCTCACTAACTAAAAGTGCGACTGTAAAAAACTCTAACAAGGCTATGTGTGAAAAGTGTTTGGTTTACAATACAGCAGAGTAATACAGAGGAGCAACCACAAGTGCCTTATTTAAATTTTTAGAAGTCACTCCATCTTAAACCATTTTAAGACTTTTGCCCCTTTTTTTATACATATTAGGAAGAGTGGAATAAACTCTGTGAAATGTGAAAGTTTCTCAAAGCAGCCCCAAAATAATTAATATCTGATGGAATTAAGCTTTTTGGATGTTTTTTTTTTTTTTACATTAGACTTTTCAAGACCTTGGATGTTACATAATAATGACTGCTCTGAAAGTGGCACTGAAGTGGCTCTCACGGTTTAATATTAAACATTTTATTACTTTCTCTCTCTCTCTATGAAATTCCATAAATAAAGCAGGTGGCATGCTGACTCGTCTACTCTCCATTTGCATTTACACGGATCTAAATCAGCTCGAGGAGAACTACTGAGCAAAAAACAAAAAAAAAATATTTGACATCATCGTGCAACCATATACCTAAAACACTTTAAAATCTTTTTTTTTTTAAAGGAAGTACATGCATGGTCACACGCTCATTTCCATACTAACTATCTTTTTAAAGCTTACTCTTTCAATTGTGTCAAAAGGAGAATAAGAAGAAGGCCTAAACCAGCCTTTTATCCCAGATAATCTCATTGTAAAAGGTTTGTCACTGTTAAGTACAATGTGTTGGTAGTTGTCATCAGAACAGCAGGATTTACAGAATAGGTGATGTTTCCTCAGTATTCATTTAAATCCTTCTGTTGGCACAGTTGAGCCCTGTAGATGAAAACATGGATCAGTAATGAGGGAAAAACAAAGAGGCGGGGTACCTGGTGATAGTAACCCACATCTCGCCGGTATGCCATCTAAAAACAAAGACAGAGGGAAAAAAGTGTGTATGAGTTCAACTTCAAGATTCTATCTCTAAATGCATTGATAGTGTCATTTAGATGGCCGACGCAGACCTTTCAGGAGAAAACAGGAAACTTTCTGTTGGATCATAGTCACAGACACAACAGATTTTCTCTGTATCTTGTTTACTACCTGATTCTTGTTGCACCCCAGCTTCAAAGCCACAAATACTGACTCTAGGGCTGCAACTCAGGATTATTTTCACTACCGATTAATTCACTGATAAGTTTATAAATTAATTAATTAAACCTGCATTGCAGATGTTTTGCATCCACATCCTATAATGTTGACTTATGCTGACTTATATTGACAGTGCTGCCCAAAGAAGGAGCGTTACACCAGTGGTGAATCCATGTTTGTCATCGATATGTGTCCCTTATTTTACTCTGATCTTTATCTCTGAATATCAAGTTTCATTTTAATTTAGACATCAGAAACATTCTTCAGAGCTGCTTAGGCTTTTCTACATATAGACGTTGCCATATCCTAGTTGATGTGGTCTAAAGCCCCTCTGTGGTTGCTCCCTTCTTCAGCTCTTGCGCACCAATAATTCCTGGATGACCTACAATACAACTACTTTATTCTCCAGTGAAGGTATGATTTAATAGAAACTATATTTAAAGATGTGACTCTTTCTCAAATTACAGAGAGATTGTCTTGGCAGTAATAAGCTTACTCAGCACCATGTAAAAGTTTGTTTTGAAAAGGTCTGATTACGTTAATTTATATAGAAGAAGGTCTGCACATAAAAAAAGCTTTATAAGAGAGTAACATGCCCATATAATCCATGGATGGATATCTGTTTGAATGATTTGTTTTTCCAACCAGAAGTAAAAACCCAATCACATTCAATTTACAACGATATAAAACCAAGAAAATAATTGAAATGATGAACAAGTTATCAAAACAGAGCCGGTCTGACTGTAAAAGATGTTTCAGCTTTAATTCAGTTTCAGCACAGACGGACAGAGAGGCAGATACCTTAGCTCGGGGATTGAGGTTGCCGATGGCATCGGCTTTAAAGTCATTTTTATTCTTCCTGCACAGCACAGCTGTGATGATGATGATAATGAGTGTTACCACGGCGATGGGGGCCAACACTGCCGCAAGTATCCAAAGGTTATTAGGAGGATTTTTCACCACAGCTGAAAACAGAAAAGCACTTCATTAACATCACCACAGCATTGCATAATAATCAAATCGACTCTGGACACAAAATAATTAAAGATTGTCTATTTATTGATTCATTGGAAGAATGACACACAGCAAAATGGACCTGCTTTAACATGCAGAATCACCAGTCCATGCTATTTAACTGCCTAACCTGATATACAGTGAGATGGATTCAGCTATTGTAGGCAGAAATCTATAAGAGGATGCAGCTCTCCCTTTTCTCTCTCTCCCCTTCTATCTTCACTTAGCAGTGAACTGCAGCCCTAAAAAAAACACTGTCCTGCCAGGAGTGCTTCAGAGACATTAGAGAGCAAAGAGCTTTCTCTTCTCCCCATACTCCAACTCTTCTATCTATACTCAGCAGGATGACTCATGTGTTTCAGTTTGCATGTCTGTCTGTGTTTCTGTCTGTTTGGCTGCTTGTCAAATGATAGAAGAAAGCTGTGCTCACGTTCCGCCTGCAGCTGGACAAAGTAGCCCAGGGTGAGCGCCATGGTCTGAGAGTCCACTGTGTTCAGGACTTTGGCAGCTGATGTGCCGGATAAAGGAACGCCATTGTGCTGGACGTAGTAGGTCATCTCGGCTGGATTCTTTAACCCTGAAACTCTGCGGATGCTCACCATCTAAATGTGAAAAAAAAAAGCAAAGGAATGACACATGTTTCCTTGAACTTTAGCTGTTAATGAACATCTTGTATATTGTTCAGAACCAATTTACATTACAACGAGGAAATACAAATAAAGCCAAGCATCTAGGTGTGGAGTCTCATGAGAGGTTAAAAACTGCATGGAAGAGTACTTACTTTGTAAAACATTAAACCTCTGGCTTGTTTTGAAGAGCAATTAGTTGATGATAAGCTGAGAAACTCCCTAATTATCAAGGGCTGACCGCAAGTTATCATGCAAGCGTGTGCAGGAGTGTGTATCAAAGAGTGCATCTCATGAAATATTTATACTGTAAAAAAATTAGCTAAAGAGCTGTTGGTTTATTGCTTTAATTTCAACTTCATTGAACATCTACATACATTTTTTAAAATCCAAAATATATAACTTTTTTACTTTCTAACCCTATGCCTCGTTGACTGTTAGTTCTTACAGAAATAGGTCAGACGAGGCCCTATCCTGCGTTACTTCCGTACCTGAACAGTGTAGCTGTCTACAGCAGTAGCTCGTCTGAAACGATTGCCCTGCTGCCCTGCCAAAACAAAAAGCTCTGCCAGCCGTTGCTCCATTAGACTGGCAAAGCTTTGGTACTGTCCCTCCAGACTGGCGTTATCCACGTCCTGGATCACTGCAAATGTAGACAACAAAAGGGAGAGTGGCCAGATGGTTGTTGATAGCGGCAATACATGATTGGCAAAAAAGAGATGAGCAAAAAGAGAGAAAAGACAGAGGTCAAATTAAAAATGTGTGTGCTGCAATAAACACACCAAACATGTAAGAATAATACCAGATTTCTGATTTCCCTTGGTGCCCTGTGTTTCATCAATATGTTAGTTGACAAGTTATTATTAGCCATAGCAACGTAAAAGCTAATAATACTGTTAAAAAAAACGTTATACCTCCTTGAAGCTTGTTTTGAAGACTGCCCCCTGGTGGTAAAATATCACCTAATTTAGCTTTAATCTGTTTCCTTTTTATCAATTGTTTACAGGCAATAAAGCCGGTCGTACATCTTGTTCAGGTGTGAGTGAATCCAATTATGTAGGGGGAGACCTTGGGCTGACTTGGCCTCTCATGACAGTAAGTGCAGGGTTAAGAGGCACACAGCATAATCTGAAGGGTCATCCATTAAACAGCGTAGCACTGTGTGTGCCCTTGAACACTGTGAAACACACTGATGAATGAAGCCGGCCGAGGAGATAAAAAACAACAAGCAATCCAGAGGTCATATGCATCTTATTGATCCACTGAAAGGACTGATTGTAAACATAAGCTTATGCATGAAGTCCTTCATATCAAATATGTAGCACCCTGTAAGATGTTTACAATTGTAAAGGAATTATATATATTTCATTAAAATGGTTGTATTGTAGAACATGCACATGTGTCCCCACTGAATATGTGAAAATGTTTTAAAAACAATGATAACCCTACCTGTAATTACCCAGAAGTCTCTGGTAGCAACAGAGGTGTTCAGATTGTGATACTCCAGTGCTGCCAAGACATAAAAACATGATGCTGTTACCTCTGAGAATCAGTGTTCGCTTCATAAATGAAAACAGTCATGTTCACTTTGTACTCGTCACCTCATTATTTAATGTCTTATGTGAGTTTTAAAATCGTATAAATGTAATAATTCGATTTTTGATTTGATATGAAAATGGTACGTTTATGTTTTAGCAAGGTACATTTGCTACCCCCGCATTGACATATAACACCCAGGGTCTTTGAAAATGTTAGACATATTGTTTGTATACCTAAACACCACTAATTTTGTGTACAAACTCAACTTTTTCATTTTTCAACATTTTAATTAATTTCCTTCCCTCTTAAAAAGGTTTAAGAAGTATTTAATTGTTATTCATTATAACATTATAAAATTAATCCAAAGTGCTTTAAAATTCCTGACACAAGTGTAGAAAAGAAATTAACAAGGACCTAATTGAACATTTGAAAGCTTTTATTAAAAAAAAAGAAAAGAAAATTAGTGGTTACTTAGTGGTTACTTAGTGGTTACCGAAGAACAAACTATGATAAGTAGGATTTTTTGGGTTTATAACTACTTTATAATGTTTGAACATGAGCCTGGGTGTGACTAAAAAACTAAGATCCTATGAGGGTTAATGTTCCTGTGTTATTTTTTGAGAAAGGAGGGAAACTTAAATGATAGAACCTAAAAAAGTCTGACCTGATGTGAGAAGTATGACTTTGCAGATAATATTACAGATTAATATTGATAATTAACAGATGCAAACATGATTAAGGGAGAGACAGAGGCAGACAAGTGAGAGTAAGTGATGATTTATTCACGAGCCAAGGAGATTTAAGCTGAAGAGAGTGAATCAGTAAACTTCTCTGTTTCTATGATATGATTAATTAATATGATAGATTAAAAACCTCGAAATAATGAATAATGGCTGTTTGAATCTTTCCAGAATGTTAAAATTTAAGCAGGATCAAACATTTCTGACCATTTTGTTTCAGAGTGGTGCCATATAGATGCCAAGAGAGAGATGGTCATTACCTCAAAGAAGATTACGAGACCTTTATCAAGGAGTACTCGGTTAGTAATGCAAATCTGTTGGTGGTGCGCGGTGGTGGTAGTGAGTTGGCTTGTCAATGTAGTTGTCACTCTTTTAAGTTCACAGAATAAAAGGGTAATATCACACATTTTTGTGAAAAAAAAGTCTTTAAATATGTTTTTCCTAACCAAGCCATCTAAAAACTTCATGCTCAAACGACTATTGTAGGATCACACTCTACTCTACCTGGTTGGAGAATGTCAGCGACTTCTATGCACACAGATTGGGCCGTAATGATTACTGTGATGGCCACCTGCAGAGAGTTTAAGTCTGCAGTAGCATATATTTGTGTTGGAACAATAAAGAATGGCTGTGAATCATTTTTGTGCTCTGTTCTATGTCTCAAAGGACTGTGAGCTGGCGTAGAGAGAGGGGGAGCAATCTATAGATGTGGGAATAGTCATAGAGAGACTTGCGGTCCTCTGTGATCTCCCGATCGGTGCCTGTTCCTGCACCATGCTACTTGGATTGATTTATTCTCTGGACCTGAGCTACCCAACACCTTTGCAACACACTTTTGATGTGTTCAAATGTGAAGGTGTATAAGTAGACATAAGAACAGAAGGCACATTTAAATGTTGCTGTTCAGCATCTTGCAGGCTGCAGAGGATTTTTAAATGCCAGCATCATAGACGGTGTCTGGATTGTTAGCTTGTAGTTATACATGACCATTTCCTGTTGCTGTCAGCTGTGCACTTAAAATAATTGTAATAAATACCTCAAAAGGATATTTAGGTTGACATTTTATAGAATGTTTATTAAGTGTAAAGTGATTTAGGTTATGTTATTGTGAAAACATTAATGAACGCAATAAACCCTAAAGAAATGCAATCGAGAAACCAGATGCACAAATCATATTCGATCAACAAAATGAAGAGATAATAAATGAAGAGACAAATTACATTGGGTCAACGAAATATAGATGTTTGATAAAAGCAATTTAATTTACTCTGATGAAGTGGTAAGATACAATTGGTTTAATCTAAAATAAATACAATTACAAAAGAAATTACGTTGAAGTAACGAGCCATTTTTTTGAGTGCATGTTGTCACTTCTTTGCTGCTAGCATAGCAACAAGTGGTCTCAGTTTGGTGCATTGTTTGTGATTGAAATCTCAGGTTAAAGCCTCATTATCACTGCATTTCAGACAAACAGTGAAGCAAGGCGGGCGTTCAGCTGCCTGAGCTCCGGTTGTCTCTGTGTTCTCTTACATCTATTTCCTGCCTGATTAAGCTTTTGTGCCGCAGGCTGCTGCAGTGTTTTTGGGAATGCTGTATCACCAGCCTGTGAGAACAGACTCGCAACAGAAATGTACACTCAGGCATTGCATGAGAGAGGAGAGAGAGAGGTGGAGGAAAGGGGGCAGGGGATGCTGGTTGACAGGAACAGTAAGGGCTTAGGCATTTTAATAGATAGGGCAATCAGTAGACAATATCCATATGTGCGAATCATTAGGAATTTACTGTAATCATTTTACATAATGCAAGGCTTGGGGATACAACCTTAAAACAAATTTCAAGTCATTCCAAGAACTTGAAAATCACCAACAGGGAGCTATTATTAAAGCAATATTTCATTTTAACATCAGAACTTAGGCTATAGTTTTAAATGCCGCTTATTATTTCCTAAAAAGAGATATTTTTCATCAGCTCCAGGCATATTCCACCTAAGAGAGACTGGGGGAATAAAAGAGCCTAGCATCGGCTGTTAAGCCTACACACGTCAAGGAACCAGTGGGTACTCAGTGCTACAAACCGGCACATCGGAGTGGTGTGAGATCGCAGGCCTTCTCTGTCAGAGCCCAAGGTGGTACGAGAATCCCCCACTGTTAATTATTTACTGCGATAATTGGCTTTGAAGTGAGGAGGCAGCCGCTGCCAGCATATGCTCACACCTCCTGTGAACAGTGTAATATCACTAATGGCGAGCCTGCAAAACAAACAGAGTAAAATCCCTGTCACACTCTCTCATTCTTCCTCTTACTGCCCTGTCTTACTGAGTTTTTCTCTGTGTCAGTGTCTGCTCCCCCAGTGTGTTTCTAATGCTCTATCTCTTTCTCTCTGTTTCCCAACAGATTCATCCTGCCTGTTGGTAACTTTTATAACTTAATTCAATCCTGACACATTGCAATTTATAATCTAATGCTCACTAACAGAGGTCCTGTTTATCTAAATTTAAACAGTGTGTGAACCAAACGTAACCTAAACCTAACCTACTGTCACCTAAATAACACTGACCTCCAAATTTCATGTCTTATATCCTTTTTTTTTTGTGACGTCAGTATTGCATAATTTGTTGCAGGCGGGTAAAGAGTTTAAGGGTTTACTGAGATTGTCCATGCATGCCACTGCGGTTTTAAAGCAGACTGAAAAAAATAAATCACTAACACCGGGTCCCGGATGAAGGGAGATACATTTAAGCTAAAGCACTGAACCATAATCTGTTAAAAAAGCTTGTAAGAGATTTACAAGTCACTCTGTACAGGACAGACACAAGAAACATGAAGGAGAGATCTACTGTAGTTGATGACATAGGTGCTGTTCCGCAGAGAAAAGAGAACAATGACACAACAATACTGAAGGTCTACAACTTCTATTCAACACACCAACCCCAAAAGATACACTGTGTAATATTTGATTCTAAATTATGCTAAATGCAGTTCAGCAAGGTATAGAGAATATCCATAGCTCATTAACTCGCTGGGCTCAGCGAAGGAGAAATTTGAAAGTGCAAAAATTGACCTCTGGATTAGGTCCAGATAGACGCTAATGCAGGGTAGCCCCCAGCTTAATTCTTGGCTCAAGCATCTACTCTGATCCTGAGCATGATCCTGCATAGCCAGCGTTGAGACTTGTCAAACTGACCAAATTCTAGAGAAATCCATGTACCATTACAACTAAGCTAGGGAGACATTTCTGCATGAACAGAAACATAACAAGGGGTGTAAACATAAAACATAATCCACAGCCAACCGTAAAGCTGCCTCTTCCAAAGTTTCCTTGAACCCCCTCTTTTTAAATACATATTCACTGGAAAGCCTGACACACACACACACACACACACACACACACACACACACACACACACACACACACCGAACATATATATATTACCTATAACACTGCACTGTTTTTTCATAGTGGATGTTTATTCAATGTCCCTGATAACACATACGTTCATTTGAGTAGGTCAGCGGCATTCGGTAAGATTTAGCCCCCAATACACAATCATGGTATTTAAGGAAAACAACATACTCAGTAATGAATAGGTGTTAATAGCTAAGTCCCAACCGATGATGTTAGCATTAAACCAATCCTCGCTAACACTACTTATCTTCAGGAAGCTATAGTTAGCATTAGATTTGAAATTTTGTCTTTCCTCAAGTATATTGTACTAGAATCAAATGGTAATGTCAATAAGAAGGTAGTTACATGCTAACTTTAGCTGTTGTCTAAAAGTACTAAATAAGTCATTTAATACAAATATGGCAAAACATCTAGGTTTACAATATCCGTCATCTTTTCAATTGCTGTTTAATCATTGAACACGAATAAGTTTATTTCCCTATTACTATTCCCTGAAGTAGTAAACTGAACCCTTGCCCTTAAATGATAATTAATCATAAATGCTTTATTACCTTTGAATGAATAAAGCAATCCTTGAATTCACCATTACAACAGATTAGCATTTGAGCCTCCGGCCTATTAAATGATGTCAGAGGAATATGTAAGCCTGGGAAAAGTGTGAATTGTCCACTTTCTATAAAGTTTTTAAGCAAAATGTTTCACACCCGATGTGCAGACTTTACAGAACAACATGCAAGATGCAACTTGTTATTACTTTAGAACCAATGTAGATAACAGGCATCTGTATGAAATATTCAACTTTTGTTTACACTAACAACACATGGAAACTCAAATCCAGAATATATGCTCGGCTTCTTATTAGTCCAAAGCCTTAAACTGAATATACGTGGGTGTTTCCTGGGTAAATCTGTATGTAAAATAAATGTCAATCCTCTGCAGTTAGCCAGATCTTTTGCTGAACCTACATTTAGAATTTGCTGCAAATGGAGTCAAACAAAAGACATGTTCATGATCCTTCAGGGAATTAATAAAGTGCCATAAAAATGATGTGTCTTATTATATCAAAGATAATTTTCTGTATCTCCCTCCGCTGAGCAGTTTACATATCACTCCCCTGTTACACTGGAGATAGAAACAGGCTGCACTCTGGAACTGTACTAAGATTGCTGTTTAGACTCCCGCTGAGTCCTTGTCACTCTTCATTTGTTTTTCTCTGAGTACATCTGAACCACAGATGGATCGCTAGGCTGAGTCTGTCCTCAGAGGGGGCAGAGATTAGAGGCATGGGCTTGGTAGTATCTTAACATCAACTATCTTTAAGTGACTCACTCACTACCCACTCAAAAAAACATCCAATTACTGACAAGCTGGACTTTAGTCAGACTTGAAGTCTCTTCAGAGAGGGAAGTTCTGTCTGAGCTTCATTTGTCTAGGAAGACCCTGCTCATGTGAATGCATGAAAACACACCAAAAAAGAACAACTTCATCTTTAGTTTCATCAGGTATTGATTTATAAACTATTATTAGTTTATATTTTGATGGCTATGTTTACATGATACGATAGATAACAGACCAAATATATGTGTAAAGCCCCCTGTAGGCTTTAATTGGGGAAAAAGACCAGGACTATTTTTTTCTTTCGTAAATCTAATTTGCATTTGGAGAACTAAATAGTCCTGTCAGAATACAAAAAAAAACACTTCTGGTGTCTCTTCTTGTACCACTTTTATTTTACCCCTGACTGACAGATGTAATTCTGAATGCAAATGGCAACTTACGCTCAGCGATGATAAGTGGTGGATAGAAGAGGAAGTAGCCAACCAGCTCAGCTGACAGCTGACCGAGGAGGTTTGAGGCAGTGGTGCCATTAAGGAGGACAGTCCCGTTCTTCAAAGTGTAGACCAACGACACAGCCGGGGAGCCTGTAGCCTGGGAGACACTCACCATCTGGGGTACAAACAGAGTAAGAAGAAGGCACATAAGAACTTAGGTATAATCATAAGTGCTCCATGCAAAACTGAAAAGATTAGAGCACATGCTCCTGAACACAATGAGAAAAAAATAAAACAATCATGTAAAATATATTATTGACTTGGATTAACAAATCATCAAGAAGCAGAGCATCAAGAAATTGGAGAGGCATGAAAGAATGGAAGACTATTGTAACCTACATTTTCTTTTCACACAGACATAAACATTCAATTGGCTCAAAATAGTTTGCACTTAAGTGTGGCAGCTCATTAAAATTCATTCAAACATTGCCTCCCTAAACATAATTAATTTGCATCTCAGAAGCGGTTTAAAAGGAAAAGCCTTATACACAGAGGCACAATATTGCACAAACTGCACACAGTTTGCATCTGTTTGTAGCTGTCAAATCAACTCAACCATGCTGTAATACTGATGTGTAACATGGGGCAAACTGGGCAAAATATTTTTCTAATATGCTGCAGATTATATTCAATTAACTGTTGTGTGGAGAGAACACCGAGGACAGACGAGCACGGACTCTGTGAATTGACACTTGGAACTGAACAATAGCCAATAGGGAAGAGAGCTGACTGAAGCAGGAAGCACAACAAACATTACCATTGCGGAAAAACAGCAAACGCAAAGCATAGAGTTAAATGGATGTCAAGTGTTTATACAACATGATGTGAAAAACAGACCACAGTCCAAGTGACAAAGAAAGGAGTTGGACCAAAATGTTTTCGATGTAAACAGCTAGCCACATTTAACGTGACCATCATGTTTGTTTACTCTTAAACTGCGTTTGACCGCACGAAATTATACATTTTGATAGCGGACACTGGTTGTTGGTTAATGAATCGGTTAGTGTGTGTTGTGCTGAGTTGGCCGTCTTGTTGCACACCACACACTAAAAGAACTGAACGATCTGCCATGTGTGTGTGCTCTCACATAAATCTTTGAGTGTGTGGCAGGCCGAAGTCTAGCTTTGATTAACTTAAATACCAAGACACCAGAGAAAACGTACACAGTGATAGGAGCTACCCAAGGGTTACACCACGGTACCTGAACAGAGAGCCTGCTGTTGACGTTGAGCACTTTGGCCTGCGCTTCAGCAAACACCTTTTCCAGCCTCTGTTCCATCATTTGAGAAAACCGACAGGACTGGGGATCATCCCCTGCTCCCACAAACTGCAGCACTGAAACATAAAAACAAAATGAGCACACAAAAGTGAACAATGAAAGGACTACTAATGCCATTTTTATATTTCTGTAGGTTACAAAATTGTATTTTTGCTATATCTTGCTGTATTTATTTTGGAAACAATTAGAATATGATATATTTTATTGTAGGTATAAAGACTTGTTTTTTATTTTCGCAAGTCTCAAACCTAGTTTTCCTCTGAACTCTCTCCAGTGCACCATCACAGCAGGAACAAATACCAGTAATTCTCCAGCTGATCTCTGACTTATTTTTGTCTTTCATCCAGACTGAGCACCAGCTGACCTGTTTTTATCTGGAAGCCAGGGGCTGGAATGGGTCTCCATGTTGTCACGGGAAGGGGCAGCGCTGTTACCATGGGGAGGTACTGTCGCAGGTCTGCAATCATCTTATCACGGCCATAGGAGTTCAAGGCTTCCAGTAAAACAGAGGGAACGTAAACCATGTCCCCTCCAGTCACGTGATAAGCCACTGTCATGTTGGGAGATCCAAATACAGTCTCCACCTGAGAGGGGAAAGAAGAAATTCAAATAATGTGTCATCCAGGAAGTACAATATTCGACCCCAATAAGTGTTCAATATTTATTCCTAAGTGGGCCATGATAAAGAGTAACTACACTCATAATCAAGTGTGGGCAAGAGTGGGCTATAATTCCCAGTAACACACCGTCCACTGATGTCACAACGGTCTTAGAGTACATTTTGACATTACAGTTAAGTCAGATGTTACACCGTTTAAGATCAGCGAACACTAAAATGTGAATATGTAAATATACCAAAAAGCACCATGTTTCATAACATGAGTTGCATTTTCAGAGGTCAACTGAAACAAACTTTACAAAGCAAAATATGCAGAAACAAAATGTAGTCTGTTTTTGGCTCATTCAGAGACAACTTAATATCACTGTAGGTATAAAATAAATCAAGTGTGACAGTGTAGCTGTTATTACTACTGTAATAATGGGTGAATTCTTTATCTGTTTCCTTGAGGGTCCTGGTATGGTCCATGCTGCATGACCACTGTCACACTGTTGTTGTTAATATCAACACCTCTGCTATTCCTGTAATGACACGTCAATGAAAACAAACTAAATGAACCAAGTCTGAATTTGATTTTCATTTGATTCTGAAAAAAAAGAACCATCCACTAAACAGTTTCAAAACAGAAACAGGTTGTGTATCACAGTGAATTTCCCTTTGCTTCTATGATCATTAAAGTGCTTTTTGATATGTGAAGTTTCCCCAACATACCCTTGTTAGCTGTTCTTTTTATGGAGTTGTCTGACATATGAATATGAGACATCCATAGTGTGTATATTCTGTCCAGAACATTGACTCAGCTTCAAGAAACCAACTTGAAATGTCTTATGAAATGGATTTCTCAAAAAAACACTCCTCATATTTTGGCTTTTTTGTTCATGTCTTGTAGCTATCTTTGTCCCGCACACAACTTCTGTTTGGTCTGTTGATTCCTGTAACCTTTAAATATAACCCAGAACAGATCACTCTGGTCAGAGAAAAATCAACAAATTATTGTGACTTTCTGTCTCTGCTGAGCAGTAAATAATCTGGAACAGCCAAAGAATTGGACTTAAAAGACATTTTTTATTTCATAGCTAGTAAATAAAGTGTGAACGTTTTAAAACATTGGGCCTTTATATGAATATATAAAGGTAATCGCCAAATTCTCAATATGGACTTTTAAGCAGGACCACCAGGTGGAATCAATCAGTCATATAAGCAAACGACTCAATGACTAAATGTTGAAATGTATTAAATTGATGGAGCAGTTAAAGAGTAGTCCAACCACTCGCAAACGAGGGAAACAGGACAGAGATTTATTATGATGTACAGACATGTGGAGAGATCTGTGAGGGACCGAAGGGCTGCAGGGAAGAGAGAGAGGAGAGAGAAAAGATGAGCGAGACATGGCAAGGACTGTTAAATGGGGAGTTTGGGACAAAGAGGCTTATGTTCCTCCACTTCTTACCCAAGAGGACAGGTATCACTGTGCCCTCATTCTCACAGAAACACAGGGGGGAATCTGTGTGTTTCGTGAGCACGTGTGATGATATTACCAAATGTTGATGTGTGGGAGTTTGACTTATTGACAAACTGTAAATGTAATATGAAACAGAAAAATTGAATGATGATAGATGTAATGAAACTAGGTGTGTGTGTGTGTATATGAGAGGTGAAACCAATCAGGTCAGTTATCTAAACCCATATGAAAGCCTGTGCTGACAAGAGGATCCGCTGGCCCAAACACTGAGAGCCTGCAGTCTCTGTAGCACTCTGTCTCCTTACAATTCAGCCTTGTTAAAACCTCTGTGAAAAGAGCCCTTTATTATCACTTCATCCTCTCAGGCTTCACCCATGTGAAGGTGTCATTAAGAGATTGCATTTCCAGCAAGCCAGAGAGTGGAAACACACCCACTGACTCTGTCTCACAGAGTTAGGACTGCTAAAGATTAACTCCACAGATTTCAGTCATTTCCAAAAACTTTTCAGTCACTGGAGAGGCTTTGCTACAGGAAACCAAAAAAGTTGACTTCTATATATATATATTTTTTAATTCAAATGGTTTAGACTTTTGGCCCAACTCATTAAGTCTATCTCTCATCATCTTTTTAACATCGGCACTGCACATCGCTCTCCTCCCAACCGTTTATAGCCTATAATTAAACACAGCAGCAATTTCCCTTGCCAACAGCTTGCTTCCCATTGGATGAGAGCACAGTGCTACTAAAAGGAACCCAAGCAATGTAAAAATGGGTGACAGGAGTGCACCGAAGCAAGGCACCTCCAGAGACCACATCAGCAGAGAGGCTGAACATGTGAGAGCACTGACCTTCACACAGGCAGGACAAATACACCTAAATACAGGCCTCACTCTCATTTATCTGATACTTCCACTCAGAGAAATACAATACCCAAGACATTTAACAGGACTGCTGATGTACAGGGAACACACACACACACACACACACACACACACACACACACACACACACACACAAAACATGTACTTAACACTTGCTCAAAATTAGAATACTCTAAAGGCACTCCAACCCACTGGAGAGTGAGAGGTAGTGTTTTTTTATGTAGGAAATGAATCCCATTTTGGGTTGCATAGTGGTCCAGTGGTTAGCATATAAAGTCGCCTCAAAGGAAGAAAGTTCATGGTTTGAATCCCTTTCGATCAGGGGCCCTTTTGTATACAGTTGGCATGTTCACCCTTTGCATGGGTTCTCTCCTGGTACTCTGGCTTCCTCCAACAGAACAATTACATGCATGTAAGGTAAAATGATGGCTGTGCTCGAAACTGCTTACTGTCAATCTATTCGGAATAATGTAAGTCAAAGCTCAGCAATCAGTGTTTTAATATTAGTATTTGACTGTAAGATAATGGAACATATGGAGTATGTCTTCATCTCTGTGTTTTACATATACATGTATATACAGCTTAAGGGACTCAAAACTGCATATTTTTATTTATTTTTACTGACCGCATTTAAGCACAGCTTTGCATAGCCAAAAGGTGCTCCTGGCACAAAGTCGCAGTGAGCGGAGATATAAGACACTCACTGGAGAGAGAGAGATTGGTTTTGGCACAGCTGGAACTATGATTGGTTCCACAAACGGCTTATCCACTGACACAAAAATCTTTGTGTGTGCACTGAATGGTTTGTATCACTATGGCAGGGAAAATGTTAAGACTATTTTCCACCTGCTTTTTTGTTGAACTAAATCTGGTGAGCCCACTGCTATGATACGATTCTATTTTGTCAAAGTGTGGAGAGATTCTCATGGTGTAAATAAAAGCACGTATGTTGTGAACATCAGGGAATTGGAGCAACACTCATCTACAGCAACTAATCTACATATTCTTTCAGTGTTGGTACAGTTACTCAAATATGTGCCATCACCTGTCTTCTGGGACACATTCAGTCAACCTAATTTCTATATTAGTCCTCATCTCTTCTCACATAGCCTACATGAGGGTCCTTGGTAAGAGTGTATTTTCACTACCCTAATAAACCTCCAGATTTATTGTAAGAGCTCATATAGGAACCATTCATAGTTCCATAATGTTAAAAAAGCCTTAGTCTAAAGCAGAGCTACAGTTTGGGTCAGTAAAAATGAATTTGTCAAAGAACATGTCATAGTAGCAAAAAGCTTGAAGGGAATAACAATCATTAATATTCAAACAATTTCCCAAACAGGGCTGACTTACAGGCTTTTATTTCATTCATTTTAGATTTTGTAACGCATATATTTGGATTCAAATTATTTTAGGTGTCACTTTTTTTATAGATTGCCTTTCACCTGATTTTGAGAATGTTTTTTTGTCAGCCCAACATTTCAGAACCTTTCAGCTTTAAGACATGTTAGTGACTCCAGTGCCTCTAAAATTTAACTTCTTACAATAATAGTCTTTTTTTTATATATATTTAAGAAGGTAATACATCTCAAAGGTACCATGATAAGTTTTTGTCCACAAGTAGTGACGTGGTGCTTTTCTTTTCTGAGAGTAGGTCAATGTTTTGTTGGAATATTATGTATGAAAAAAGCAGCAATATGATCGTGAATGTGGACATGACTGACATGATCCACAGTTCTGCCAATAGTTGAACCCAATTTTTAAAAAACAAACAAAAGGCAAGAACGAAGCGCATGTCAAGCAAGCCAACAATGCAGGTTTCACCATTTTTCCATACATTGGCTTTACTAATGTTTGAAGTGAAATTAAAGGTGATGCAACTAAAAAAAAGTGGTGAATTTGGTGAGAGAAAAAAGTAAACGTATTAAAAACAATCTTTCGCAAAAATCGTCATGGTACACCTCTCTCAAATAAATGGATACTTAGTGTATACTGATATGTTGATGCTGCTTTTTTCATTGATAAATCAACAGGATAAAAGATCAAATTCTTACTTGTGCCTGGGCTGAACTATCATTCAGAGCTTTCCTCAGGCCCTGACTGAGTCCCCTCCGTAGGTTCTGCCTCTGAATGCTGTCAAGTCTGTTTCTTCTCACATAGATGGAAACAACTAAGACAGAGAGGCAGACAACAAAGAGAAAAAGCGAGACAGAAATGGGACAAAACATGTTAAAGGAATGACAAATATCTGAATATCTTCTTAAGACTGTCAGAAGTATTTTTTTGTACCTGTTTTTACCCACAGCCTCTCTGTGATGTTGCACAGCTGCGGTGGAGCCTCTGTGGTGGTGGTGAAGGGGGAAATAAAGATGGTGGTGGCTACCCTGGGTGGGCTTGTTCTGGGGACAGGTTGTGTGAACATCTTCCTGCTGGTTTGAGTTCTGATGGTTGTGGTGGCCGTTGTCCTCCTGGTCACAGGAGTGGGATGTGGTGTGGTAGTGGCGATAGACTGTGTGGTGACTCTAAGGATGGGCGTGGTAGTACTGGGGTCCGTCTTGATGGTTGAAGCTACAGTTGTGGTGGTAACCTCAACAGAGGCCGTATTGGTGTCCTGTTGAGGGGGCAGAGGTGATACCTGAGATGTCCTCTCGGTGGGTCCAGCAGAAAGGGTGATTCTGACTGATTGAGAGGGGGCTAGACTGGCCACTTTTTCTTTGGGGAAAGTGAGAGCAACTGCTCGAGATGTTCCAACGGTCAAGTCGTCCGCCCCTGCCTCTGTAAGGACAGCAAAGGTCTTAGTAATTTCCTCCGAGTGATCAAAATCTATTGATAAGGTGAGACTTGGTGATGAGGATGAAGAAGTTGCAGGTAGAGGTGCAGGTACAGACACAGATGATGATGTATAGCTTGGGTACATGGTTGAATTGATTGACAACAATGATGATAATGGTGACAGTGAAGCTTTAGAGGACACTGAAATCTGTAAGGAGGACGAATGAGAAGCTTTGATACTACTATTTGATAGAGGCAAAGTCTCTGAAGACGATGGCAAGTGCTCTGCTGGAAGTGTGAACCGCCTTAGTTTGTCATCCGTTGTGTGTTTGATATGATCAATATCAGAGAGATCGCGTTGAATGCTGTCTGAAAGTGTGGCAGACGTAACAGAGGAAGATTCAAGAGAGTCAACACTTTCCAGAAGAGGGCTGTTTTTGTTCTTGTATACCAATGCGAGCGAAGGATCGTGTGAAGATGGTGCAGTGTCAGTAGTTATTTGAGTGAGTGCCGAAGAGCCATCTGAACCCTGTGCTGATGGAGTGAAAGGATTCACAGAGGCTTCTTGTCGTATATTGTTGGCCAAAGCAGATCTAAGATCACCTGGCAACAAATTCTGACTCTGTTCCTCATATCCTGATGTTCCTTTAATATATCCAAAAGATGTGTGTTCTCCAATAGCTGGATAAAGTGAAAATGGACCTGGAGCGACTACAGTTGAAGCAGTTGAGCTCAATACATGCAAATTACTCTCTTGTCTGTCTTCCAGCTTTGGATGTTCATATGATGGGCCATCTGCTTGTGAATTAGTATTTGCCTTATCAAAGCCAATGGATGTAGTTTGAAATTTAACAGCAGTGCTTTGAAAAGACACAGGCTTGGTGGCTTTCCACTGTGTATATGGCGCCATTTGTTTTGTGCCAATGCTGAAAATAACACCAAATGTTTCCCTGCTGTTTCGTCCATCACTGTAGAAAGTAGGTGGAGCAGAGGAAGGAGTAGAGGGAATGATTGTTTGTCCACCGAAATACAAATCTGATTTATTACTGTTAGCACTGGTTACTGATCCTTGAGATTGAGAAATAGAGTTAGTTGTTGGTGTTTGGGTAATATCTGACCAGGAAGAATTCTGATGGTGGCTCATCATTGTCACTTTATCCTTATGGGACACACTTGTAAGAGGATCTAATGCAGCATCAAAAGTTACTGTAGAAGTGTGGATTTCAGTGGGAGATCCTTTGAAAGCAACTTCAGAACCTTTATTAAACAACAAGAAGTCTTTTGCAACCGTGAAAGAAGAAAAATGTGTAGTTAGCTGCACTAATGGAGCACCCTGCTCGTAAGACGTAGCGTGTCTGATTGGAGTGGAGTCTTCATTTTCGTTTAATAAACGAGAAACTGAACTCTTTACAGCATTTCTCTGGAAGGGCACAACAGATATCTCTTTGTATGTCATGTGAACATCAGAGGCTGGTGATGTTTTAATGTTTCCTGCATTTATTTCCAACTTTAAAGTTGAAGGTGAACTGACTCCAGCTTGGTGAGATTCTTTGATATGCGAAGATATTTCAGCCATCTGGTGAGACTTATTTGGATCTTGGATTTTACCAAATGTTGTATAAAACTTGTTGGAAAAGTTTAGTAAAGATCTTGTTTGAAAAGGTCTTTGTGAAGGGGTAATTGGGAGTGATATTGTGGCTCTGGGTTGGTCTGCAAAATGATCCGGACTATGGGCAGACAGGATAGTGTTATCATCAGTTTTGTTGTGGTTTGGTCTGTAGCTGAGAAGCAAGGGCAATAAGTTTGTGGGCTGAGTGTGAGTGAGACTTTTAATCATAGTTTTGCCAGGCGCATCCTTTGCTAAGCTTACCAGAATTGTTGAACCAAAGAAAGTCATTTTTCTACTGCTGGAGGAAAATATAGAGCTTGGTGTCGTCCTTTTTCTAGGCTCCTGAGCCATGCCCATGGGAGACCCTGTTTGAGTCACAAGATCTACTACATTTCTGCCACTATTACTTTGCAAATCAAGTGGATCCGACACAAATGTGGAGGAGGTTGTTCCTTTTATGGTAACCAAACTGAGGGTTGAACCGGTGGTGGACTCTGGCCTCGCCTGTGTGGGTGAAAGTGAGTTATTCAGGTGAGCTTGAGTGGTTATAGATTTGAGTTCTGCTCCTCCTCTGTCTCCCAGGCTGTAATCTATATTGATGGCAGGATCTCTGGGGCTGCCGGGACCTGCTGCCATCAGTAAATCAGCAGGATTAGATGCATACTCTGAGGACACCATGTCAGACTGGATATTTGTTAGCTTAGTGATTGCCATTTCAGTGAGAGATGTTTTACCTGGCAGAGACTGGGAGAAAACTGTAAAAAATGATCCAGAGCTTCTGAAAGACACTTCTGGGAACACAGTCGGATTTACGCCATGTGAACTGAGAGGGGACGTGATTGCATCTCTCACAATTTTCTGACCCAGCGCTGCTATATTTTTTTCCTTTTCTGCATATGCTGTTGGATTTAACGTCTGCTCTGTGACATGACTGGCAGCTGAATAGCCTTTATGATCAGCAGACAGCGATGGTGATCTCAGACTTTGTAAAGCTCCCTGTTGCATTTGAACAGCTCCAGTCTCTGGATGAAAAAGAAATGATGTGCTAATGTCGGGATAAGTAGTTGATATAGAGTTCACATTAGGATTTGGGGCTTGAGTGGGTCCATACAAAATATATAGAGGGTTTTGTCCATGGTTAGGACTAGTGTATGGTGTATTAGTTCTGGTTGCTGGTGTCTTGAAAACATTTGTGCCTGCACTCCTTGTGTATGTGTCACTCACAAAATGGATTGTTACTGCTGATGAATTGAACAAGTGTTTTGTCACTTTATTGCTCTTTTTGTTGCTGGTTTTACTCAAAAAGTATGATGGTATGGTTGTTGTGCGTTGAAGCCTCAGACTACCAGCCGCTAGGTTAACCACTAACTGAGTGGTGGACTGTTTGGGTGTTAGTCCGTCTGTCCATCCCAGAGACCCTGCTGGTGATAATGTTGCTGTTTCTGTTTGATGGGCAGGGCTGGATGAGAACCTTTGTGCTTGAGATGAAGCTTCATGGTTTGTCCACCCAGCAGAAGTTGAAAGTGGAGACAGTACGGATGATAAAACAGTGGTAATGGTCTGAGCTGATGATGAAAATGGAAGAGATGATGCTGTTGATGAAGACAATGACGACACATTCTGTTTTCCATTCATCATAGACACATGTGAATGCTTGGAGGTGCTTGATGCCATGTTAACTGTCTGAGGTGATTTGGCATGTTGGTGAAACACGTTAGAAGTCAAACCTGAGCTGGCAGGAAAGGCCCTCTCTCCCGCAGACGACGAGGAGGACATGTCTGAGCCCTTGCTGGAACTATGTGAAGGCCATTGGGTGGTGTTGGGGTCATCCCTGGTGATAGTCGGCGAGGTCTGACTTTGATCAAGGCTCACTGGATGTTTGACAGTTCCTGCCATGACAGTTAAGACAGAAGAAAAGGCAGGCTGCCCTGATAAACTTTCCACCTCAGACTCTGAGTCACCATCCAAATGAACGAGTGAGAAAGGCACCTCCTCTGCCACGGACAGGTCAGCCAATGGATGTGCAGAAGCAACTTTGACTGCAGGGTCGCTTGGTAAAGATGAGGAGCCAGAGGCATCATAGGTGGGTTTTTCTGTAAAGAAAAAGAAAAAGAAGAAAAAACATAGATTAAGATTAATTGCCATTCCGAATGCCTACTTATGAAGCTGTAGCTTTATGTCATCCCATTTCTCGTTAATCTATAGAAGTTCCTATAAGGCACAATACTTTGTTTGTTTGGATCCCAGCGTCAGTGTAATATATAAGTTGTTCTTGCTGGGGTCTGCAGTTTACTTTGTGACAATACAATTTACCCTTTTACATTGATAATCACAATACACAATCATTACACAACAGACATCTCATCTACAGTTACAAAAACTAACCACTGACACAAATTTCAAAATAAAAACAAAGAAAACAGACATTACAAAGGCTCTGACTGAATCTAAAGCATCTTAAGAGAAACATGTTGGCATAAACAGCCCATCAAAGTCAGGTTATGTTTAAGTTATTTATTTTTAAACTGTATTTGTTTGTTTGCATTATTCCTTTATTGAATGCTGAGATGATGCGGTTTTTGATTTAGGTTAAAATAAAACAACCTAATATAAATTCTTAATTGTTGTGACATTCCAAAGGAAAACCATTAGTGAATGCAAAAATCGTTTTTAACTTCAACTCAAGAGAGGCTGTCATTATTAACAATTGATCCTAACCCACAGTTAGGACCAGGTATTTTGGACCACTTGCACTTTTCTTATGCTAATCATTGAATTGCTACTTGGCATTTCAGTACAAAGTTATTGGTCAGCATCTCCACCAATGAGTCATATGCTAATATGGGAAATAAAAACAAAAAGTGCTAGTAGTCATAAACATTAGCCTTAGATGAGACTAGCGCTGTGTGTTTGAAGTGCCTTTAACCCGAGTTTATCCTTTCTAATGGCACTATTGCAGTTATAGGGAATCCATTAATCAATAGTTATGTGTAAGGACACACTCTCTGGCTTCTCACTGGGGTTGGTGAATGAATCACCTAAGTGCAGAGTCAGGTGTGTTTGTGGCTGATTGGCCTTGATTAAAACCAGGTGTGGGGAGCTTATATATACTCCTGGAATTCAGTGCTCTGTGCTAACTCATTATGTCACCTTCAGAGGTAGTGAGAGGTTCTCCCTCTGTTGTCGCTTGTTGTCTGTGTGTTCATAAACACAAACAAATAACCTTAAGTGTATTTGTGTCTATTGCCAAAATAAGTTGGGGTGCTGGGTAGTTGATATACCCCAGCTTTTTGTGTTGAGTTTTAAGGCCTCCCTGGCAGCCTTTACTTTCGTGAATTGTTTCTGGGTCTCCCGGACAATGTAGTTTGGAGTCAGCTGCCTGGCAGCAGTGGTTTAGTTGTTAATTTTCGGTGCATTAGTTAGAGGAGTGTTTTGGCTCTATACTATTTTCATTGTTCCCTACCCCCCCTCCAATCTATCACTTGCGATTTTTGTGGTTATCCTTCTTGGATAACTTTAAGACACCCCTGGGTCCGCACCTGTGTCCCACTTTCCCGTTTTCCTGACAGTTATGAGCTTCTTGTTTAATAAAAAATCATTTGGTCTGCAGTTTAAATTATAATTATCTCATAGTTTAAGAGTTTCTACAACAATCTTTTGGGTTTGAAGCTCTGAATTTTGGCTCAGACTCTCTGCAGCTCTCTTCCAAAAGTGAAATGGTCAAATCCCCATTAGGGGGTCTTTTCAAAAGATATTTCAAAAGAAAAAGGAGGATCATGCGAAGAAGAGAAACACATGCCAAATGTTTTTTTTTCCACAACCTGGCAACCAAGAGCTGTTCTATGAATGACTCTGAACTGATTTATTAGGCAAAAAACGCTCTCAGATGACATGTTGTTTCCGTCCCATTAACTGGCAGCGTGAAAAATCTCATGGTCTAAACAGTGTGCATATTTATTTAGCCTGCGTGTCAGCATAAAATTACCTCCTCTAAACATGACAGATTAAGCCATTATAAAGAGCCAGGTATGGCACACTGCCATTTGAAAAAGACCTGATTCCAACAGTACACGTTCGCGTATGGCTCGGGTTGTCAGGTTTTTAAAATAAGCTGTCAAACTTATTACGAATGATTAAATGCCTTTCAAGGACAACCGTTTAATTCACCATTGAGTTGTTCCCATTTTGACCTGTGCTAAGGTGAGAAAACAAATCCCACTAACTATTCACAGATAAATGTTTTCTGATTGTTATAGACACCAAGGACAAACTTTTGTGTATTCCAAAGGAGAGGCAAAAGAAAAAATCTTCTAAGTGGAACAAATAGAATTATTCAAGTGATGGTAGCTGTGTGCACAAGTTTGGCAAAGATAACACCACTTCTAAACACAGACAATGGACTCATGTTGCAGTGTTTGTAGTCTGTGCAGAAATAATGCTGCAGAGGAAGAGATATGGATGTTTACATATGGAGTAGCTTTTAAATAATCTAGATGTTACAAATACAGTCAATGTGAAGTTGTCTCTCATCAATTCAAGTCCTGTCCTCTCCCTTTTATTCTACACACATCCCTAACACATCCATATAGGGGGTTCTCTTATCCATTTCAAAAGCTTTGCAGTCCTGTCACACCTTCCACCCCCTCAGCATGTTTCTCTTGCTGTATTGCACCCAGCTACACTCACACACACCTCCTTCAGTGTGCAGGAGAGAAACTGAGTTTTGGGGGAACATTTTTGCTTCCATACATGTACCAGGATTGCAAAAAAAAAAGGCCACTCTAGCCACTCATATTTTCTCACACTGTGCTTGGAGTTCACTTAAATGAAAACACACTTTGAACATAAAGCGTATCATTCTGAGATTTGTCCAGCTCATACTGTGGAAATTACAGTGGGCCCTTGAGTCCATGTTTTCTCAATTACACACACCGTGGTTAGCCTAAGGCAGTCTGTACTCACACAGCTGACACTTTAAAGCTATCTGCACACATTTTGTCTGTCTTCAGATATTTTTCTGACCTTACATGAGAACTGTAATAGGATTTGACACCTATTCAGTAAAACTATGAGGTCACTAACCCTGAATGTTATTCCTAAATGTCACCAATACCCCAGAAAATTGCATGAATGCTTTTTATAATTTGTTTTCAGAGGAATAAATCTCTGAATTTCATTAACCAGCATAATTTGTGTTTAAAGATATGAATTGTTCTCTATAATTCTGCTTATATGATTCTGTTCTTCAATGAATCACTAATGAGCTTATATGTGATTATTGAAATTGCTACCCCGCAGGTTTTAAACCGTTCGCTGAAAAATGTTGATGTATAAAAACACAGATTGGAGGGAAGAAAAATGTGTTCCAGTTTTCACAGAAGAGGTCCTAGAAAACAAAGGATACGTTTACTTCAAGGCCACTAAAAGGTCAGTCAGTCAAACCTCCTTGTCATGGAAATAAAAGAGAACTTCCTGGACCCCTTCCCTCCTGCTTAGCGTGCCCAGCAGAAACATGAATTTGGGTGCCTGGGATTGAGGCCAGGATGAACAGAGGTGTGGAGCACACCCGTGGTTTGCCACCTGCTCAGACTGTGCGGAGCATATGGGAGGATTTTAACAATGGACAACAGAGGACAAGGTGTGCAGATAAAAGGAGTTAGTGATAGAAACGGAGAGAACGGGTTGACTGCAAAATGGGGGAAAAGAAGTTAGCAGTTTGGTAAAAGAGTGAGAAGAAAGAAACCTTCTTATTTGCATTAAAGTGTATGCAGTCTACACGTCTGCAAGACTTTTCCAATAAAATGAATGTATCTTTTAGTCACTACTCAGTCCTGCTACCAGATTAACACATAACTTCCCATACTAAAAATAAAACAAGATTTAGTATGGACGTTTTTTATTTGGTTGAATTTAAAAAGATAGCAAAACATATAATTAAAATGCTTCTTAAAATGAACAAACAACATATTTTAAAATCAAACAGAACATGTACTTGCTTCTTCCTTAAGTGTCAGACTAATATTTTATATTTTTGTATATGCATGGTAAATTAAAAGTGTTTTTTTTTTTTTTTTTTTACTTTTTGGCTGGACAAATTCTCTTTTTTGGAAATGTAACCGTGGGTTAAAGTAAATTGGAATTGCCATTTTGACATTTTAAGAACTGCAAGATTAATGGATCGTAAAAATAATGATTAACTGCTGCTGTGCAAGCAAAAGCTTAAACCAACACCTTCTTTAGCCTCTTAAACCCCACTGACACGCTGATGGATCACTCTTTATTTCACACTCATGCAGCGCAGCCAAAAATTGATCATTCAATCCACAGAACTTTGTTGGAAACTCATGTTTCAATTCAGCGTTTACACATAAACCAAACAGCTGAATTCAAGGACATGTATGGATTATGCAGTAAACATTAAGCACATCTTACAGCTTCAACAAAGAGTTGAAATATATTGATGAAGAATACAGCTGTGGGGAGTTAGATCATTTTCAACTTTGTAGCTACATCATGGGAATTAAAAGGGAGGAAACTGATTGTCAAATAAGTGAAATGACAATTACAATATGACCTCATCTAAGAAATAGATACTCCAAGCTTGTGTGTTTCATAAATTCTTGGTATACATTTCTTTACCAAAAAGACAGCTATTGATTCTGATTTGCCTCCAAAACCATCTGCAACCAGCACGCACACACTACAGACCTCAACCCCCCCCCCCCCCCCCTGCAGCCGTCACAATCTTTGAGCTACCAGGACACAGACATGACACTGCCGGGGCTTCCACTGCTCCACACCATTATACACTGCTTCCTCTTTTGCTTTGAGCTGTTTTTGTTCTCTCATGTGCGGAAAATGGTAAACAAGAGAGGATAATTCAACAGTGTGGTGGAATGAAGCCTGGGAGAAGAGAAACAAATTTCAGAAGTCTGGTCAACTGCTTCTGAGGAAGAGAGCCTCACAAATTCCTTGTGACTGTTTATGGAGGCAGCAGCATTAAAAATGCTTCGAGCAATTGTTGATGTATAAAATTGTAAATGGGAGCTTCAGTGGCAAGGTGGAGGGAAGTCTGGGAGGAGTGAATTTTGAT